GGAGCGGAATTGCTGGGTCACTTGGTGACTGCGTTTGGCCATCCGAGGAGCTGCAGACTGACATTCCCCCCAGCCAGGCACAAGGGTTTTGATTTCTTTGCATCTTAATGACTGCCATCCTGGTGGGTGTGAAGTGGTCCTTTGCATTGCCCTCACGGCTGCAGGGGGCAGTGTTTACAATTCTAAATGTCTCCAACTTCGAGGCTGTGAATGCCAGGATCCAGGATGGATTTTTCACTCATTAGATTTGCAGAGGGAACGTCTCAAGTCCTTGACATCTGATTCGCTAATTCCTGCTTGGCACCTAAGACACACAGTTAGTTTTTAGCCTGAACCAAGCAACTCTCTAGTTAAACTCAGGGAGTTTTGTTTTGTTTTGTCTTTTTAATAATTTTTATTGGAGTATAGTTGATTTACAATGTTAGTTTCAGGTGTACGGCAGAATCAGTTATACACATATATATGCCCACTTTTTTTAGATTCTTTTCCCATATGAGCCATAATAACAGAGTATTGAGTAGAGTTCCCTGTACTATACAGTAGGTCTTTTTTTTTTTAAATTATTTTGATTCATCTATTTATTTGGCTGCGCTGGGTCTTAATTGCCGTCATGCGAACTCTTAGTTACAGTACCTGGAACCTGGGCCGCCAGCATTGGGAGTGTGGAGTCGTAGCTACTGAACCACCAGGGAAGCCCCCAGTAGGTCCTTATTAGTTATCTGTTTTCAGAGAGTTCTGCTAAGGCCACTGACTTCAGAAAACGAGGCTGCAAATACAGTCAGTCTGCCCCTGTCTAGCAGGGGTTAGGTCCACAAACAAACAGTGAGCACACCCTTGGGGAATATTGACTATAAACACTAGACACTGTATTTAACTTCTGCCTTTAATAGCCCCTTCTTGTTCTGTGTAAAGCCTTTGAAAGCTCCAATAAATCATTGACAGTGTGGCCACAGTTGTATTTGCTGTGATGCATGCCATGTAGAATTCTTCTCTCTTGTAAGACTTGTGTTCACCCCAAGGCTTTGATGGGGGGAGGGGCTGAGTTAACCTTCAGGCTCGAAGCATCTTCGAGCCCCCTTGGGTAGCTTTTTGAGAAATGGATTCGAGCTGTTGATTGGAGTGCCCTCTTGGATTGTTTAAACTGGCTTGTAGCAAGCTTTTGCTTAGAGATCTTGGTGCTTTCAAAAATGGGACTTATGTCTTCAAAATTGGCCGGGCTGTGGACGTTTGCTCCATGCCAGGTAAACAGTGTGCAAAGGGTCATGTTTTGTTTTTTCGGGCTGTGCCAAGTGGCCTATGGGATCTTAGTTCCCCAACCAGGGATTGAACCCTCGGCAGTGAAAGCCTGGAGTCCTAACCACTGGACTGCCAGGAAATTCCCACGTGTAAATATTCTTGAATGCTAGGCAGGTGGCACCAGGCTAAGGTTACATGTGTGGATGCAGTTTTACTGATTTGCTCTTTTCTTTCAAGATCGTCCAGGCAGAGCTCTCGGCTGCCCATCCCAGCTTCTCCCTCGGCCCTGACGTCCCCACCTGAGTGCCCCCTGTCCACTGCCCCCGGGGTGAACGCTCCACTCCCAGCCCCCACCTAGCCCACCCTGCTCTGTGGCTCTTCTGTGTTGGGGAGGTTGGTGGAGCCCACACAGTCCAGGCCCCAGCCCCAGGGTGCCTCTGAGACCTGCCTGCAGGGGGTCCTACCCCCATTCCCACTGTGGGCCATGCTCTCCTTGGAAACTGGTTTCACTGCCCCTCCCAGTCCCTCCTCTCCATATAGCAGCCAGAGTGGTCTTTGGGCTTCCCAGGTGCACTAGTGGTGAAGACCCCCGCTTGCCAATGCGGGTAGACGTTAACAGACCCCGGGTTTGGTCCCTGGGTTGGGAAGATCCCCTGGAGGAGGGCCCAGCAACCCACTCTGGTATTCTTGCCAGAACTGGTGATGGACAGACAAGCCTGGCGGGCTACAGCCCACGGGATCGCAAGTCAGACGCGACTGAGCAACTTGGCATATATACCCGTGTCTTCTTTGGAACAGACACAGGAACTGACACCCCAAATCATGGCGCTTGATACTTTTCCATCTCCCTAATCGTGAAACCCGGCTGCCTCTGGGCCTTCCTGTCTGAATTCAGCCCTGCCCTAACCCCAGCCAGCCTGCATCTCCAGCCCTTTCACAGGTCTGCCTTCGATCCTGAAAATCTTGCCTTCTGTCCGATCCTTCCTCTGGGCTTCCGTGTTACTTGAGGGGTCCTCTCTGTCACTCCCGCTTCTTCCTGCCCCCCTGTCTGAGCTGCAGGGTGACCCTTCTTGCCAGCATCTCCATCCTCTCCACGGCTGGCTGGCATGTAGGAGGCAGTCAACACACACTTGTTGAACAGACAAGTGAGTGACAGCCGGGATCACTTGTTCTGATTTCCTGAAGAAAAAGCAAGGGAATTCCAGAAAAACATCTACTTCTGCTTCATGGACTACACTAAAGCCTTTGACTGTGTGGATCACAACAAACTGTGGAAAATTCTTAAAGAGATGGGAATCCCAGACCACCTTACCTGCCTCCTGAGAAACTTGTATGTAGGCCAAAAACATTGGTTAGAACCAGACACGGAACAAGAAACTGGTTCAGAATTGGAAAGGAGTATGACAAGGCCATATATTGTCTGCTTATTTAACTTCTGTGCAGAATAACTCATTCTAAATGCCAGGCTGGATGAAGCACAAGCTGGAATCAAGATCTCGGGAGAAATATCAATAACCTCAGATATGTAGATGACACCAGCCTAATAGCAGAAAGTGAAAAGAAACTGAAGAGCCTCTTGATGAAAGAGAAGAGTGAAAAGGCTGGCTTAAAACTCAACATTCAGAAAACTAAGATCATGGCATTCAGTCCCATCACTTCATGGCAAATAGATGGGAAGAAAATGGAAACAGTGACAGATTTCATTTTCTTGGGCTCCAAAATCACTGCGGACGGTGACTGCAGCCATGAAATTAAAAGATGCTTGCTCCTTGGAAGAAAAGCTATGACAAATGTAAACAGTGTATTAAAAAGCAGAGACATCACTTTGCCAATAAAAGTCTGTATAATCAAAGCTGCGGTTTTTTTCCAGTCATGTACCAATGTGAGAGTTGGACCACAAAGAAGGCTGAGCGCCAAAGAATTAATGATTTTGCCCTGTGGTGTTGGAAAAGACTCTTGAGAGTCCCTTGGACTGCAAGGAGATCCAACCAGTCCATCCTAAAGGAAATCAGTCCTGAATATTCATGGAAGGACTGTTGCTGAAGTTGAAGCTCCAGTACTTTGGCNTGTGGTGTTGGAAAAGACTCTTGAGAGTCCCTTGGACTGCAAGGAGATCCAACCAGTCCATCCTAAAGGAAATCAGTCCTGAATATTCATGGAAGGACTGTTGCTGAAGTTGAAGCTCCAGTACTTTGGCCACCCGATGCAAAGAGCCAACTCAATTGGAAAAGACCCTGATGCTGGGAAAGACTGAAGGCAGAAGGAGAAGGGAGGGGTAGAGGATAAGATGGTAGATAGCATCACTGACTCAATGGACATGAATCTGAGCAAACTCCAGGGAGATACTGAAGGAGAAGGAAGCCTGGCGTGCTGCAGTCCATGGGGTCACAAAGAGTCGGACACAACTTAGCAACTGAACAACAACAAGTCTTTGAAACAGCATTTGCCCTTGATGGGTTTGATGTCTGCGCCCAAGAGGCTTGCATGATGAGAAAAGGAAAACTAGCATGCGCGAGGGATGCACACACAGTTCTGGGGTTTTATTCTGCTTTACTACAAACTTTGGCATCACTGACTTGATGAACATGAGTTTGAGGACGCTCCAGGAGTTGGTGATAGACAGGGAAGCCTGGCGTGCTGCAGTCGATGGGGTCACAAAGAATTGGACACAACTGAGCGACTGAACTTACCTGGTAAACTTTTAGCTCCTTTGTATGCAGGTGTGCTTGTTGGCACGGGGTTTAGGGGGAGGTGGTGCCATCAAGCACTTTCAGCGGATCGGGGGAAGGCTGATGTCAGGGAGGGTGAGAGGGAAGAGGTGAGTCAGGAGTTGGTCGAGGAAGAAGGTGAAAGGAGGCAAATATTTACAGCAAGAAAATGAAATGCGCTCGCCTGGCAGAGGCTGGAAACCAGCCGGGAGGGCCAAGCCTGCAGCGGATGAGTGTGGCAGCTGTCTGATTTCCCAAGTCTCCAGGAGGGAGGCCCGCCCCCCGCCCCAGGGTTCTGTGCCTTGGGTTTTCCTGGAGTCTTCTGGAACCTGAAGTGCTTTGTGGAGTGGCTACCGCATAGCCAAGGTGTGTGGTGTTGACCCCAGTTCCCACCTGAGATAAAGCATCAAGGCTGTTTTGGATGTGTTTGAGGCTGTGCCAGCCTCCAGCCTGCCTGGTGGGTAGGGATGGGATTTGCCCTGGCACGGCAAGTTGCTAAACTGCCCTGGGATTCGGGATTCCGGTTGGGTGAGGCTCCGGCTGCCTGTTGCCCGGAGGCAGGGTTGGTGGGATGGCCAGGGGCCTAGGGGTGAGGGGTTCCAGCTCCTGGACTCTGCTGACCACCCAGCACCTCCAAGCAGAGGCAGTGATGGCTTGTCTGTATCCCTCTGGAGCAGGGGGGAGAGGTGAGGGGGCAATTACAACCAGGTGTGTTAATGAGTGACATTTATCAAATGGGAGGAAATGGTCAAATTCAGAATGGATCACACGTCTATTTAGGGGCTTCCCCAGTGACTGATCGATAAAGAACCCGCCTGCCAATGCAAGAGAGACCGGTTCGATCCCTCAGTCAGGAAGATTCCCAGTAGGAGGAAATGGCAACCCACTCCAGTATGCTTGCCTGGGAAATCCTGTGGACAGAGGAGGCGGGCGGGCCACAGTCCTTGGGGTCGCCAAGAGTCAGATACGACTTAGTGACTAAGCAGAGACAACAACAGGGGATTTTCTAATGTCTGGTCAACACTCACCACGTTCTGTTCACCCTTGTCTTTCCAGGAGCTCACTGACCATGGCGGAGGCCCACCAAGCCGTGGCCTTCCAGTTCACGGTCACTCCCGATGGGATCGACCTCCGAATGAGCCATGAGGCCCTCAGGCAGATCTATCTGTCTGGACTTCACTCCTGGAAGAAGAAGTTCATCAGATTCAAGGTTTCCAGATCCTTGCTTCAATCCGTACAGTTTTCGTTTTCCTATTTGAGAACTCCAGGTTCTATTGAAGTTTCAGTGCGTCCGTGGTAATTGGCACCTTATGTATGTTTCCTGGTCCTTAAGGCCTGTGAGACAATTTTATATGTATTGGCTCACTGAATTCCTGGAGAAATTCTGTAAGGCAGGCGGGGTGAATTGGGATGCTTTGGGCAGACAAGGAAATCGAGGTTCAGAGAAGGTAAGTGACCTTTGGGGTAGAAGGAGAATAAATGTCTCTATCTCCGAGTCTGGGCCCCTCTACACTTCACAGGAAACCACAGAGAGTTTATTTAACAGATATCTCACCAATGAAATGGTCCACCACTGAAAAAGATGCACGTAAATGCAGATGCGGGCTTCTGAGCTGGCTCAGTGGTAGAGAATCTGCCTACCCGTGCAGGAGATGCAGGTTCGTTTCCTGTGTCTGGATGATCCCCTGGAGAAAGGAATTGGCTACCCACTCCAGTATTCCTGTTTGGAAAATCCCATAGATAGAGGAGCCTGGCAGGCTCCAGTCCATGGGGTCGCAAAGAGTTGGACGTGACACAGCTGAGTGGCTGAGCAAATGCGAAGCTCTCAGTTCTGTTTACCAGCAAGAGTGGACATCTATTCCCTGTTTTTAACCATGCGTCTTGTTTTCTTTAAATTTTACTGGAGCATAGTTGATTTGTAGTATTGTGTTCGTTTCAGGTGTATAGCAAAGTGAGTCAGTTATACACATACAAATATCCACTCTTTTTAAGATTGTTTTCCCACATAGGTCAGCAGAGTGACATTTTTCTTAAGTCTTTATTGAAATAATTTGTTACAACATTGCTTCTGTTTTATGTCTTTGGGTTTTTGACTGGTGGCATCTGGGGGATCTTGATTCCCTGACCAGGAATGAAACCCACACCTACTGCATTGGAAGGCGATGTCTTAACCACTGGATGGCTGGGGAAGTCCGATGTGCCTTGTTTTTAATTCATCTTATTTTAAAAATCACAGAAGTCGTGAATATGCACATACTCTTCGCTTGAAACTTCCTCAATTTTGCTGTTGGGGGAGATAGTGCTGGGAAAAGTCTCCAGGGTTCTCTTTTCTTACTGCCAGTAATGAAAAAATGAAAGTCACAGAAGGACAAATGCATGTTTAAGAAAATTCAAACAAGTTAAAGTGTATCAAAAGTGTCCCCTCCCCATTCCCCAACAAAACTGGGTTTGATGTCGTTTTCCTTTCAGAGGGCAGCAAAGAGGAGGGCTGTTGAGAAAGGCCCCCGAACTGGAGTGGGTGGGAGCAATGACCAGGGAGACCTGGCCTGGCTGGACAGGTGTCCCCTGGCTCTGTTGGAGGGTCCTGGGGCCCAGGTTTAGTTCAGTTCAGTTGCCTAGTCATGTCCAACTCTTTGTGATCCCATGGACTGCAGCACGCCAGGCTTCTCTGTCCATCACTGTCTCCCAGAGCCTGCTCAAACTCATGTCCATTGAGTCGGTGATGCCATCCAACCATCTCATCCCCTGTCGTCCCCTTCTCCTCCCGCCTTCAGTCTTTCCCAGCATCAGGGTCTTTTCCAGTGAGTCAGTTCTTTGCATCGGGTACACAGTCTTTGCCTGAGGCCCCAGCAGCTGTGACCCTTCTTTCAAAGTGAAGGAGGGCGCCACGTGCAGGGAGGCGTGCCCTCTGCGCCCCTGACCTTGTGGGAGCTCCTTCTACCTTCCTAACCACGCGGTTTCCTCGGGGACCTAGGGGCAGGCGTGGGGGGTGGGGGGCAAGGCTGGCAGAGCTGCTGCAGGGTGGGGAGTGTGGGGGTGGAGGCCATTTATCTAGAAACTGCTTTCCCACATTACCATTTAATGTGTCTTTATTTTATAAGAACATTTCAGAGAACTTCAGAGAACAGCAGAAGGCCCCCCCTCCCTGCCCCTGCCTCTCACCCCCAACCACTTTGTTTAAAATCTTCCATGCCTCTCAATAATGGGAATAACATGGTAGTCTCTCCTAAGAGAATTCAGTAAAGATCTGAGAATGTTTTTAATCCGTTGTCTTGGTCAAACCAATCTCTTATTAACATGACTTCAGTATGATTTTTTTTTAATTGGAAGTCTTGAAACATACACAGAAGTAAATAATAAAGGCACACCGCTATAATAAAGTCACATTGCTCATTCCCACAACTGTCAACATTTTGCCAATTTTGAGATCTTATTTCTTCCTACCCCTTCTCCCCGGCTACATTGTTTCTTTTTAAGGGGCTGTCTCAGGGCTTTGGCTGAAGCATCTTTTGGGAGATTCTGGCCATGGAGTGAGGTCTTGTAAAATATTAATACCTCGGGTTAAGCAGTGTCTGATTCAGGAGCAGCAAGAGGGGTGATCTGAGTGAGGGTCTCGGGGCATCCTGGATGCAGCAGGTTGGGGAGAGGACGTCATGGTGGGCAGTGTCCTGAGTCAGTCTCAGGGGAGCTAAGGAATGGGTATGTTAACTTAAGGCTTCCAACTTAGAGTGATTCTCATGTCCTGGGGTCGTTCTCCAGGGAGACGATTTTCGAGAAGGTTTTGACTCATGTAGCTTCCCTGGTAGTTCAGTGGTAAAGACTCTGCCTGCCAAAGTAGGAGACCCGGTTTTGATCCTTGGGTCAGGATAATCCCCTGGCCAAGGGAATGGCCACCCATTCCAATATTCTTGCCGGGAGAATTCCATGGACAGAGGAGCTTGGCGGGCTACAGTCCATGGGGTCGCAGAGTCGGACACCACCAAGTGGCTAACACTTCGCTTCTGGTGCTTCTGACGTCCTGGGGCTGCTCTTCAGGGAGACTGTCTTAGGGAGAGTTTTGGCCCAGGAGTAGAGGAAGGGAAGGAGCTGCGCAGAAGTTGAGCCGCTGAGCCTGGAGGCCCTGGGAAGCGTCGCCAGGGTTGTTTAGCCCTCCGTGTGTGCAGCCCCCACCCTCTCCACCGCCTGCCAGCTCACACCCCCTGCCAGCAGGAGGGGCACACTCACAGCGCTTGTGTCTGTTTCTAGAATGGCATCATCACTGGCGTGTACCCGGCAAGCCCCTCCAGCTGGCTCATCGTGGTTGTGGGCGTGATGTCGACAATGTACGCCAAGATCGACCCCTCTCTGGGAATAATCGCTAAGATCAATCGGACCCTGGACGCGACGTGAGTAAGCCTCTCAAATCCCAAAGGGTCTAGGGAGTGACTCTCTTTTTTGTTGCTGCGTTTTTCTGTCTTTTCAAACGTCATGACGGTCTGTTCTGGATATTCTCTTAGAGGCTTTTGCTACGATTCTCACGACAGCTTTCTCCCCATGTCCTGGACTGATATGAAGGTCCAGGGGAGTTTGGGGTCCCTGTCACTCTTTCTCAGAAGCCCAGGTGTGTGAAGAGCAGCCTCTGCCCCGGGATGCCTGCCAGTCCACTTAGCCTGGCCGGGGGGTCCTCAGAACGAATTTTGTCCCAGGCACTGTTTCCGGACATGCTGTCTTCCTTGTACGGGGGGGGGCCATCCTGGAGTTCTGGGACTCCGGGAGCTGACTGCTATGGGGGGCTCTGGGGAGACTCCAGCCGCTCAGCTCCTTGTCTGAGCGACTTAGAACCTGGGGAGGGACTCCCGGCACTCTATCCTAGTGACTGTAGTTTTCTAAGAGCTTGAAAATAGGCTTTTTTTTTTTTTTTTAATATCGTGAGATTTGGCCTGGAGAAGCCTTTGGGTGATACTTTTCCTTCAAGGTGTGTGGCGCCTGGGGTCTCGTGCGGGAATGCTGGCCATGCCCGCGAGGGTCTCTATGGAGCCCCTCTGATGGGTGACCCTGGCTCCCATGATCATCTTCTGCCCGGCGGCCCCTGCGCTGCCGTGACCTCTCTCACTGGGCTTTCTGATGTAAAGTGAGGAAATGCTCAAACTTGCAGCCTCCTGGGACTTCCCTGGGGGTCCAGTGGCTAAGACTCAATGCAGGGGACCCAGGTTCAATCCCCGGTCAGGGAACTAGATCCCGCATGTCACAACCAAGACCTGTGTGCAGCCATATAAATTCACAAATAAATTCTGAGAAAAAAAAGATGTGGATTCCTGCGCAGAGTCACGGAGAGGAAGTGGGTAGGTTGGGCTTCAGACCCAGCTCTGCGCAGTGCCTCGGACCCCCATGCTGCCTTCAGCAGGCCCTGAGCCTCCCCGCAGAGAGCCTTCCTGCCAGACAAAGGCAGGGACGGCACCTCTGCATCGTCGGAGTTCGAGGGACCCGGTGATGGGATCCACACGGGGCTAAGCCTGCCCCACCCGCCTCCATTACACTGTTCGTGATTGCAGCTCTGAAAGACACATTTTTATTCTTTTGGCCGTGCCGTAGGGCTTGTGGGATCTTAGTTCCCCGACCAGGGACGGAACCCAGGCCCTCAGCAGTGAAGTGCTGAGTCCTAACCACTGGACCGCAGGAGAATTCCCCTGGGATACCTGTTTCTGTTTTCTGGTTGAAAAGGACTCCACCTTGGCTGTGGCTTGTCCCAAGCCAGACCTTTGATCCTGTTTGTGTGTCGCTTGTTTACATCAGTGAACATTTTAGGTCTGTGACTAGAGAAATGATAATTCCCCAAGTCCTTGTCCCGTATTTGGGCTTTGCTTTTTGTTTTTAGTTTTTAAAAATTTTCTTCATTTTTTGACCGTGCCTCGGAGCAGGTGGGATCTTAGTTCCCTGACCAGGGATCGAACCTGCACCCGCTGCGGTGGAAGGGCAGAGTGTTAACCACTGGACCACGAGGGGATTCCTAAGCTTTGCTTTTGGGGTCAGGAGTTGTGAGGAAGGTGGGGGACGGATTGTAGCCCAGGTGCGTCCACCGGGTCTCTGGGCCGTAGCTGCAATGTTGCGGTTGGGCCCAAGATAAACAGATGAATTTCTGGACCCTTTACTAAGTCAATTGTTTGGATTTCAATATTGCCTTCAGAAAAGGACAGGGAAATAAAGTGGAAAAATGCGACATGAAAGAAAGCTCACGGCTCCGGGCTGAGTTTGATTCTGATGACAGTAAAGAAAGGATTAAGCACTTTTCACGGAAAGGCCTGAATCTTCCCTCGCCTGGGCCGGTGCCCCTCGCAGCTGACTGCTGCTCCTGTGCACCAGGCCCTGGGATGCTTGGCAGCCAGTGCGATGCGCTGAGTCACCCGCAGCCCCCAGCTGCCTCGGAACCCCGGCTCACGCCTTTATCAGCGTCTGCGAGGCCCTGGGTACAGACCCATCCCCGCGGGGAACGCACATCTGCTCTTCGCACCTGCCGGACTCCTTGGTCTGCCTGGGGGCCAGGAGTCCCAGCAGGGTCCCCGAGCAGGGACTCCGTCTCTCTCTCATCATCCTACACATGTCTCTGCCCTCTCTTTCCAGAGAGCCACAGGCCTGCCCCCACCATAGACAGCTCATCTCTGCATCCCTAACTGCTTCGGTTTAACACACTTTTTAATTTACTCCGGACCTTGGGTCATTTCTTTACACTGGATTATATTTAGAAGCGTTGGCTATTTAAAGCCCTTTCTAATCTGAGTCTTTATAAGATTTGTTTCTTCATCCTTCTAAACCAATTGCAGTAAACTGGGCCATCCCTGGCCCAGATTTAGAAAGACCAGGTTAAGGGACCAGCAGCTCCCAGGGTCAAGGGTCAAGGGCTGTTCTGCATATCCTTGCTGGAGAGGATCCCCAACACCCTGAAGTCTCGGCCTCCCCCCAACCTCTGGGTGGCCCACCCCCTGCAGCCTTAGAAGGGGCACAACGTATAACAGAAAGCTTTTTTTGCTAATGCTTTCAGTTGAAGTGCCTGTAGGTGTACATATAGAAAATGCCAAATGCATCATTTGCTCGTTGCTGTTCAGTTGCTCAGTCATGTCCAGGCTTCCCTGTCCTTCACTGTTTCCCGGAGTTTGCTCAAACTCTTGTCCACTGAGTCAGTGATGCCATCCAACCATCTCATTCTCTTCCGCCCCCTGCTCTTCCGGCCTTCAGTCTTTCCCAGCATCAAGGTCTTTTCTAATGAGTCGGCTTTTCGCATCAGGTGGCCAAAGTATTGGAGCTTTAGCATCAGTCCTTCCAATGAATATTCAGGACTGATTTCCTTTAGGATTGACTGCTTTGATCTCCTTGCAATCCAAGGGAACCTCAAGAGTCTTCTCCAGCACCACAGTTTGAAAACATCAGTTCTTAGGTGTATAACATAATGATTTGATACATATATTCTGCAAAATGATTACCACAAGTTTTGTTAACATCCATCACCCAATATAGTTACAAATTTAAAAAATATATATTTTTGTAGATTTCACATGTGAGACCATACAGTATATGCCTTTCTTTTTTAACTTTTTTTAAAATTGAAGTATAGTTAATATTCAATGTTGTGTTAGTTTCTGGTGTATAGCAACATGATTCAGGAATGTGTATATATATTAGTTTTCTATGTCTGTGAGTCTGTTTCTGTTTCATTTAAAAAAAGTTCATTTGTGTCATATTTTAAATTCCACATGTGAGTGATATCATCTGGTATTTGTCTTTCTCTGTCTGACTTATTTCACTTGCTATAATGTCCTTAAGGTCCATCCATATTGTCACAAATGGCAGGATTTATTCTTTTTTTTTTGCTGAATAATATTCCATTGTATCACTCCATATTAATACCATCTCTTCTTTATCCACTCATTTGTCCATGGACACTTAAGTTTCCATGTCTGGTCTGTTGTAAATGATGCTGTAGTGAACATGGAGTGATTTCATTTACTTCAGATAAATACTCAGAAGTGAAATTGTTGGATCATATGGTAGTTCTGTTTTTAATTTTTTTGAGGAATCTCCATATTGTTTTCCATAGTGACTGCATCAGTTTACATTCCCACCAACAGTGCATAAATGTTGCCTTTTTTCTCCACATCCTCACCAACATTTGTTATTTATTTTTATTTTGTGAATATTTTGTGGTTTTTCAAAACAACTAAAACTACAGCCCACAAAAGTGTATGAGTGGCTGTATTTCTTCTGATTTTTTAAGTCCCATCTTTTTTTTTTTTTAACCAAATGATCAAACTTAAAAACATGGAACGCCTCACGAATTTGCGTGTCATCCTTGCTCAGGGGCCATGCTAATCTTCTCTGTATCGTTCCAATTTTAGTATATGTGCTGCCGAAGTGAGCACTAAGTCCCATCTTCATCAGATCACTTTCCTATCTACATCACTTTCCCTAGCAAATAAAAATATTTTCTAAGTTTTTGAGTGATCATTTTACAGCATCAGTTTCTATATGTGTTGATGATAAATGTTCCTGCCCAGATCAAAAACAAGCTCTTTTGATATAAATAGTTGAAGTAATAGTTTTGTCAAGTGACCTGCATTTCTTATGAGTCATGATGAAATGCAAAGGTATGTTTAAGGGAAAAACATCCTGAGTAGCAGGAATGGAAGGCGCAGAATTGCAGCCAGCTCCCAGCCAAGGAGAATGCAGGTTAGTCGTCAGTCTGGGGCGTAGCTCCCATCGTGGGCGAGCCAGTGCCTCACCCCTGACTTCCTCATCCTACTTGGACCTGGAGGAAGCTGTCTGTTTTCCCCGATTATGCCTGTTAGCCTGGGTTTGTTTCGAGGACCAGCAAAGCAGATGGGGCTGGTTCATCTCACATCCAGAAGAAAGATGGCTGAGTCTTGGGAGAATCAGGTTAACACGGGTGGCCCCCTCTCTCTGATCAGGCCTGGGGTCCGTGGCTTCCTTCGCTGATGAATCCATGGCTTGTCTGGTCTTGTCTCGGCAGTGGCTGCATGTCCAGCCAGACCAAGAAGGTGGTGAGCGGCGTCATCTTCGGCACGGGCCTGTGGGTGGCCCTCATCGTCACCATGCGTTACTCCCTGAAGGTGCTACTGTCCTACCACGGCTGGATGTTCGGCCAGCACAACAGGCTGAGCCGCACCACCAAGATCTGGATGGTAATGCTGCCCCAGCACGCGGCTGCTGGGGAGGCTTCTGTTTCTCTCTGCCGTGCCTCGAGGCTTGTAGGACCTTGGTTCCCAACCAGGGGTCAAACCTGAGTCCATGGCAGTGAAAAGCCCACGTCTTAACCGCTGGACTGCCGGGTAGATCTACTGTCCCTGGTAGATGATTCTAAAACTGCTTAACATAGTCACAGCCGTGGGTGTTTCACAGCTTGATGTGTTTGGAGATAAATATATACTTGTGAAACCCTCATCTCTACCAAAGTCACTAATATATCCACCCCGCCCTCCTTGAACCCTGGGCCCCACCCATGCTTTTTGCCTTTGAATGTAAGAGCATTTAACCTAAGATTCACCCTCTCAGCAAATGTGTAAGGTCTGACGCAGGACTGTTTGTTCCAGTCTCAGTGTCCAGCACATACTTTTTTCCGGAGCTCCCTGGACAGTCCAGTGGTTGAGACTCCACACCTCCACTGCAGGGGCTGTGGGCTCCATCCCTGGTCAAGGAACTGAAACTCCACATGCCCAGTGGTATGGCTCGAAAAGGAAAACAGAAAAAGAAAAGCAAAAAACCCCCAACCAAACAGAACATAGTTATGTCCTGTAACTGAAACCTTGTCCCTTTTAAGGGACACACCCACACATATATGTGGGTAACTGATTCACTATGCCGTACTCCTAAAACTAACACAGCAGTGTAAGTCAACTTGATTTACAACCCCCATCCTGTGTCCCCCGGCCCCTGGCAGCCCCCCTCCCTCCTTGCTGCTTCTGCGGTTCCACGGACCCCTGAGACCACCGAGGGTATGTCCTTCTGAGTCTTGTTCACCCACTCAGCCTGGTGTCTGGTGTGGGAGACTTTCTCTTCTGCAAGCAGGGCCCTCACTGGGCCTTTTCCCCTTCGTGAATTTTTTAAAATTAATTTTTATGGAAGTCTAGTTGGTTTACACTGCTGTGTTAGTTTCAGGTGTATGGCAGAGTGAATCGGTTATGCATACACGTGTGTGTGGGCCCAGTCATTTCAGGCATGTCCGACTCCTTGCAACCCTCTAGACCATAGCCCACCAGGCTCCTCTGTCCGTGGGATTCTCCAGACAAGAGCAGTTACTAGAGTGGGTTGCCATTTCCTCCTCCAGAGGATCTTCCCAACCCAGGAATTGAACCTGCATCTCCTGCATCACAGGTGTATTCTTTACCCACTGAGCCCCCTGGAAAGCCTGTGCATATTCATATATCCAGTCTTTTTTTAGGGTCTGTTCCCAAATAGGTCACTACAGAGTATTGCGTAGAGTTCCCTGTGCTATACAGCCCCCTTGGTGACTTGAGCGTCACCCTGTAATTGCCAGAGAAGTCTGACCCACTGTGACTCATGAGCTTGGGCCGGGGACTCTTCTCCTTTAATTAGTGTATCCTGAATATCTAGTGTTGATGTCTGCTGGGTTTGTCATCTAGGGCACCCGTCAAACACAAGTACCTTCCATCTACTTCTCTGTAGCCTTTCTGACTAACTCGGACAGTAAATGGTTTCCCTAGCTGAAACCAGGACACCCTGACTCGCCCTTAGCTTCTACGTTTCACCAGCTCACCTTGGTCCTTAGTCCAGCAGTCACTGACCTGCCATGTGCATGGATATTTGTCCTTATCTCACCCAGTGATACCTCTACCTGTGGCTGACTGCCACCCCCTGGGGCTCCTGAAAGGAGTGGGCATCCCCATGCCAGAGCCCACCACACCACACCTTTCATCTTTCCCAAACAGACTTCCTGCTGTTGCTTGCATGTAAGATTTCTGATTTCAAGAGAAATAGAATTTAACTCCCAGGAGAGATTCTGAGGTGGTATCCACACTTTATTAAGCAAGAGAAATGACCTGCCCCAGGGTGACCATCATACCTGGTGTCCAGTTGAGTCCCACCTGCTCTTCAGCATCAAGAATCACAGCACCCCCACCCTCCCCTGCCATGAGCCCCAGAAATTCTCTGAAGTCAGGTCAGTATGAGGTGACCAATTGCTAGAGCATGTTTAGATCATTCCAGACTTAAGCAGGGGCAAGTGTGTGCCCTTCACCAGACTTGTCAATGACCAGAGGGTCCCACTGCCTCTCCTGAGCTTGCTTCTGGGTCCAGGCCTCTCGCCCAGCCCCCGGTGCCAATCTGGAAACCGAGGGCCTTGCAGAAGTAGGCACATGGAACTTAATCCCCTTGTGCAGAAGTGCAATCAGACCCTGTGTCAGGGTGCCCAGGGAAAGGCACCTCCTGGACAGGGCAGGACTATCTCAGACACAGAGCTTCATTCACCCTGGGTTTTAACTTGGGGTTTACTGTTTGCTGAGGCCTGCGAGGGTTGGGGCAAAAAATGGACTGGAGGAGATGAACTGCAGTGGAGAATCAGTCACCAGTTGGCAAATCATGTACACTGAAAAACTGGTTTTGGGTCTTTGACACAATCTCGTCTTTCAGAACATACCTTTTTTCTTTTTTTTAGTTTATGGTCAAGATCTTCTCAGGCCGAAAGCCCATGTTGTACAGTTTCCAGACGTCTCTGCCGCGCCTGCCCGTCCCAGCTGTCCAGGACACCGTCAACAGGGTAGGTCAGCTTCACGCTCCCTCCGAACACCTGCTCTGAACACCAGCATCTTTGCAATCAAGGCTTATGACTTGATGAGACTTCCCTGGTGGTCCCGTGGTTAAGACTCCGAGTTTCCACCGCAAGGGGTTTGAATTCCATCCCTGCTCGGGGAACTAAGATCCCTCATGCCCCCTGGTGCAGCCAAAAAATACACTGTCGATGCTGTTGAGGTCCATGAACCTGCCTCCTCCTACCTGCAAGGACCAGAGTGAATCAAAGTGGGGGCCCTAAAAATTCTCAGCTGGTGGCCTGGCCTCAGCTTGGTGGTATGACATTCCCCGTCCCTGTCGTTTTTCTGGCTCCTTCTTCCTGTCCTGGGGTCCTAAGCACCAGCCTTTAGTACCACTCTAGGCTCTCAGAGCCTCCCCCTCATCTCATTGGCACCTTCATAGCCTAGGTGAGAACAGAGCTCTTACGAAGGACCAGAAGATGGAGGAAAAAACCCCACACATTACAAGCTCATTGTTGACCAAATCTTGATCTTGTCAGTCTAGAGTCCACTTTGGTGATTTTGTGCTGATTCAAGATCTGAGGAGCGTGCGTGCCAGTAAAAGGACAAAAAAGTTTGTCTTTTTTTTTTTTAAAGTTTGTCTTTTTAAAATATAATTAATTAATTAATTTGGCTGCTCCAGGTCTTAATTACAGCCTTCGGGGTCTTATAGTTGTAGAACGCAAACTCTTAGTTGCAGTAGGTGAGACCTAGTTCCCTGACTAGGGGTCGAACCCAGGCCCCTGGCACTGGGAACTGGGAACCTTAGCCACTGGACCACTGGCGATGTCCCCCCAAAAGTTTAATTGTTGAGTTATCCCTGATGTAAAACATCCTTTAGTATTGAAGTTAGCTAACTTGAGTGAAGACTAGCCTTTTTCTAAGGCATAAGGAAAGAAACCTTCTATTTTAGCTGGGCTTATGTTTTTTCCCTTAACCCCAGTACTTGGAATCTGTGAAGCCTCTTATGAAGGAAGGAGACTTTACACGGATGACAGCTCTGGCACAAGATTTTGCTGTCAATCTGGGACCGAGATTGCAGTGGTATTTGAAGCTAAAATCCTGGTGGGCTACCAATTATGTGAGTATACAAACATGCTGTTTTTCTTGGTGGAATTTTGTGTAGGAATATAATTTGTTCCTGAGCCAGTTGAGCTTCCCTACGTATGGCGAGTGGAAGGAGACACAAGTGGTGGATGAAACAGGCAGAGGAATTGAGGTTTGAGGAACAGCTAGTGTGGAAGACTCGGACCATAAAGAAGGCTAAGCGCCAAAAAATTAATGCTTTCGAATTGTGGTGCTGGAGAAGACTCTTGTAAGTCCCCTGGACAGCAAGGAGCTCAAGCCAGTCAATCCTAAAGGAAGTCAGCCCTGAATATTCATTGGAAGGACTGATGCTGAAGCTGGCGCTCTAATACTTTGGCACCTTGATTCATTGGAAAAGACTAATGTTGGGCAAGATTGAGGGCAGGAGGAGAAGGGGGTGGGTGACAGAGGATGAGATGGTTGGATGGCATCACCGACTCAATGGACATGAGTTTGAGCAAACTTTAGGAGATAGTGGAGGACAGGGGAGCCTGGCAGGTTGCAGTCCATGGGGTCACAAAGAGTCAGACACGACTTGGTGACTGAAGAACAGGAGGGTGGAAGAGAAGGTGTGACCCAGACAGAGCTGGTGGGTGGGGCACACCAGGGGCGTGGCCATGGGGCGAGTCCCGACCAGAGAGAGCAGAGTCCAGGGTGGGTGCGGCAGGTCACGTCGGGTTGTGATCCTGCGTTGGTTACACGGTATGTTGAGTTTGTGAACATTTTCACAGGTGCTTAGATTCTTAGGTGGGCACCGTTCTGTGTGTTTATGTACTTTCTTACACAAAGTGGAAGGATGGTGGTCCTCAGTGGAAGGCTGTGGGTGTGGTTAGGATGAGACCGCTGGCCTCCTGGGGGATGCTGGGAAGACAGGACACGTGGCCCCGGGGTGGCTCCAGGCAGAGTGGAGACTGGGAGCAGAAGGGGGGAGGCAGTCTGTGGACAGTTACTGGTGGTGTTGACTGTTAAGAAATGTTAGAGCAGCCAGACATTTATCATTTCTTTCCCATTTGGTGTTTCTTTTTTTTTAAACCATCTATGAAATGAAGGTAATGTACCCTGTAGCTGAGTCTTGACTTGAATAAAGCCATCTTCCGGCGCCCACTGTTTTGCATGTGGTCTCACTGGGGCTGACTTGGCCCCGAGAGAGAGAAATGCTGTAAATGCGCCCTCCCCCACCCCTCGGCGCCCGCGCCTGTCCCGGGCAGCCTGGTTAAGCCTTGGTCTCTCTTGCTTGCACCTGACAGGTGAGTGACTGGTGGGAGGAATACATCTACCTCCGAGGACGAGGGCCGCTGATGGTCAACAGCAACTACTTTGCGATGGTGAGTCCCGCGGGCCCACGGCGTCCGGTGGAGACCAGACCCCAGGGTGGCCCGGCCCGGCCCTGCAGGCTGCCTGGGGATGCGCTAGGCCTCCCCTGGCCCTGCTTCCCCCACACAAGGCCTCACGCCCCCGTCAGGGAGCACAGGACCTGCCGTCCACAGCAGAGGGCCCCGTGGAGGTACTTTCGTATTTCCAGTGAGGTTCAAGGGTGCCCACCTAGCTGCTGCAGAGGAATTTGGGTTGCAGAAATGGTCTCGTGGCTAGTGGGACTCCTCACGCAGCAAACCTCTCCCTCTGTTTTCCTGAGCCTGAGTCATGCTGAAGGCCCACATCCCTGCCCGCTCCTGACCTGTGGGTCAGCTGAGAGCTCGTCCACGTACGGGGCTTGTCCTTCTGGGCCCTGGGGTGACGTGGGTCCCACCCGAGTGTCATTTTCACATCTCTTTGGGCTTTCTTGCCTTTTGAGACGTGGCTGGTCTGGAGAGCACACCCCACTGTCTTGTTAGAAGCACCTCACTGGGCTCCCCTGATGACTCAGCAGGTTAAGAACCTGTCTGCAATGCAGGAGATGTGCGGTCCATCCCTGGGTCGGGAAGATCCCCTGGAGGAGGGCATGGCAACCCACTCCAGTATTCTTGCCTGGGAAATCCATGGACAGAGGAGCCTGGTGGGCTGTTGTCCGTAGGGTCGCAGAGGAGTCAGACATAAGTGAGCAACTAACCACCACCACTGGTGTCTGACGACTGGCCTTAAATAACTGCTGAATCTCTTTCCCTTTCTTTCTCCTCCTTGCTTTCTTTTATTTTTTTTTTTTTGCCTTCTCCTTTATATCTATCTTATTGTTTGCTTTTTCTGTTTTTCTACTTTAAAATTTCTTTTCTTTAAAAATAATTGTTCTTGTCCTTTGGAAACAAGGTCAGACTTAGAGAAAAACTGGTGACATGGCCCAGAAAAATACTTTTTAGAGTGAACTGTCCACCTGATCCCCTTTTGTTCCCAAAGACTTTGGTGTCTATTTCCCACGTAATTGGGGGGCAACCCCACACATATAACTTCTCTCAAAGTATAGTTGAGACAAGCAACCCTTGGACTTGAAAAATATAGACACTTAGAAATGTGTTTCTAAAAAGTTGCCAGCACTTCTCTATATAAAAGATTATTTTAACCTTTGGTTACTTCTCACTCAGAAAACGTCCTAATTATCTAATTGCTGCTTTTAATTTCCGCTTTCCTTTTTATGCATTATATGAGGATATTTAGGATGTAGTACTGTTATCTTTTTTTAAACTTGAATTTATTTATTTACCATTTAATTTTAAAATATACTGTTACCTTTCATAGCCCAAGAATTGCTTGGAGGCTTGAAACAGCAGAGCAGGTGTCACAAACACATGTGTAGGAATACATGAGCTGTGTATTCAAGTTCGCTTGTCTTTCCTGTGAACATTCCCCCTAACGCTGTGCATTTTGTGTCAGGACTTGCTGTACATCAAACCGACTCACATCCAGGCGGCAAGAGCTGGCAACGGGATCCACGCCATCCTGCTTTACAGACGCAAGCTGGACCGGGAGGAAATCAAACCAGTATGCACACAAACTGCTTTTTTCTTAAAAGAAAAAAATGTATTTATTTGGGTGCTCAGGTCTTGATGGTGGTTTAGTTGCTCTGTGACACGTGGGATCTTAGTTCACTGACCAAGGATAGAACCCACACAACCTCCACTGGGCCACCGGGGAAGTCGCAAACTGCTTTCTAAAAAAGTTCTTTAGAGCAGCTTTATGCAGGTGTAATTGATGTACAGCACACTATCCACTGTAATAAGTTCTGACGTTCTGACATGTGTCTCTGCGTGAGAAACCATCACAGTTAAGTGGGTGAGGCCCCCGCCCACCTGCCCACCCTGTAATTGATGTACAGCACACTATCCACTGTAATAAGTTCTGACATTCTGACATGTGTCTCTGCGTGTGAAACCATCACAGTTAAGTGGGTGAGGCCCCCGCCCACCTGCCCACCCTGGGCTCCTCTGTGTCCCTCTGTGCTCCCCACCATCACCCTGATCCGCTTTCTGTCACTCTAGATTAGCTTGCATTTTCTGTAAATGGATACTTACAGCTTGTGAGTGCTTGCTTTTTTTTTTAGACATTCATTGTTTGGGGCTTCCCTGGTGGTTCAGTCAGTAAAGAATCCACCTGCAATGTAGGAGACCCGGGTTCAATCCCTGGGTTTGGGAAGATCCCCTAGAGAAGGAAATGGCCACTCGCTCCAGTGTTCTTGCCCGGAGAATCCCATGGGCAAGGGAGCCTGGCGGGCTCCAATCCATGGGGTCGCAAAGAGTCGGACACGACTTAGCGACTAAACCAACCAGTCTTTATTTGACTGTATTGGGTCTCATTTGCGGCACGCAGGATCCTTGTTGGGACATACAGGATACTCAGGTGCAGAGCACAGACCCTCTAGTTGCAGCGCTTGGGTCTTAGTTCCCTGACCAGGGATCCAACCCATATCCCTTGCGTTGAAAGATGGATTCTTAACCACTGAACCACCAGGGAATCCCCATTCACTTTTTATTTTTTTGTCTTGACCTCTTTCACTCAACATAATTATTTTGAGATTTGATTCTCTTCTGTAGTGTCCTAAATGGATATATGCTGATGCACTTTAGTTCTGTAATTTGTCCTTTGAAGAAACCCTCTCTTGCTTGTGAAGGAAATAGTATAGATATCAGGCCTTTAAAAAAATTCTTTTTGTTTATTTACTTACTTATATTTTTGACCGTGCTGAGTCTTCACTGCCGCACAGGGGCTTTCTCCAGATGTGGTGAGCGGGGGCTGCTCTTGGTTGCCGTGAGCAGGCTTCTTATATCGCAGTGGCTTTTCTTGTTGCAAACGCAGGCTCTGGGGCCTGTGGGCTTCGGCAGATGCAGCACACGGGTTCAGTTGTCTCTCTGTGGCACGTGGGATCTTCCCAGACCAGGGGTCGAACCCATGTCCCGTGCATCGACAGGTGGATTCTTAACCACTGGACCAGCAGGGAAGTCTTGAGGCCTTTTTTTTTTTTAAAGTACTCCTTTGACTTAAGCATCTGTTTCTTTCTCTTTTTTTTGACTATACTATGCATCACTCGGGATTTCAGTTCCCCAACTAGGGGTTGAAAACGTGCTCCCGGCAGTGGAAGCGTGGAGCCTGCTGAGGACGTGTTATTTAAAAATAAGATGCAGGTTTCTGTGCTCTGGTCTGTTTCAGCAAACCCCAGGGGGCATGGTGTCCCAGGGAACCCCTGTTCTTACAGAGTTTGGAAAAGATTAGGTCCAGCCATGTGCACAGAAAACAAATCCAGCGTTTAAATGTGTGGACTTAATTTGCTCCTTGAATTTTTGTTTGAGACATATTTCTGTTACAGACTCTTCTTTTGGGGTCTACGATTCCGCTCTGCTCCGCCCAGTGGGAGCGCATGTTTAATACTTCCCGGATCCCAGGAGAGGAGACAGGTGGGTGACTTGCTCAGGGCTTCCTTTGGAAATCAGAAGTTCCCATCCTTGTGCTCAGGAGGCATCGGAGAAGACCACACCAGTGGCTCCTGGCCTCTCCTAAGATTTCAGAGAGTTCAGTCTCAAGAACCTTCCTTCTGTTGAGCTGACTTTGTCTTTCTCAGGCCTGGACAGTTAATTGATTTAACTGACTCAGTTTCTCTCCAGTTGAAGGTTGTCTCACGGTAGTTTTTTTCCAGATTGGGTTAGGAGGTTTTTTTGGCCGCATAGTGCAGCATGAGGGATCTTAGTTCCCTGACCGGGGATTGAACCCATGCCCCCTGCAGTGAAAGCGCAGGTTCCTAACCACTAGACCACCAGTTCCCTGACTGGGGATTGAACCCATGCCCCCTGCAGTGAAAGCGCAGGTTCCTAACCACTAGACCACCAAGGAAGTCCTCCACGCAGGGTTTATTGTGTTCAGGGGGAGCCAGATTTGCCGTCCAGCAGCCTGACCTGGGATCCTGACCCCTGCCTTCCTCACTGCCCAGTGTAGGGGGGGCCTCATCTATTCCAGCCAGGACGCCCTCGAGAATGCAAGAGTGCAGAAAGGCACCGCTTAGGACCGCCCCCCGCCGGGAGGGTTATGTCCTTTGGCCCGGGTGACACGTCCAGGGGGTGGCCAAGCGGAGCCAGCGCCCAGGCCTGTCCCAGCCCAGAGCCCCGAGCCTCTGCAGGCGGACTCAGCGGAGCCGAGGGACGCGGGGCCAGGAGGTGGTGCCGTCGAGGTCTGGCCTCGCGTTCTCTGACCACGTGCCCCTGGACGCCTGCCCTCGCCCCCGCAGACACCATCCAGCATCTGAGGGACAGCAAGCACATCGTCGTCTTCCACCGGGGCCGCTACTTCAAGGTCTGGCTCTACCACGACGGCCGGCTGCTGAGGCCCCGGGAGATCGAGCAGCAGGTGCAGCGGATCCTGGAGGACCCGTCGGAGCCACAGCCTGGGGAGGCCAAGCTGGCGGCGCTCACAGCGGCGGACAGGTGTGCCGCCCCTCCGGGACCCTGGGGGCTGTCGGGGGGTGTTGGGGTTCCCTCCTCACCAGGGGGGCAGACAGGTGTGCCACCCCTCCGGGATCCTGGGGGGCTGTCGGGGGGTGTTGGGGTTCCCTCTTCACCAGGGGGGCAGACAGGTGTGCGGCCCCTCCGGGACCCTGGGGGCTGTCGGGGGTGTTGGGGTTCCCTCCTCACCAGGGGGGCGGACAGGTGTGCGGCCCCTCCGGGACCCTGGGGGCTGTCGGGGGTGTTGGGGTTCCCTCCTCACCAGGGGGGCGGACAGGTGTGCGGCCCCTCCGGGACCCTGGGGGCTGTCAGGGCTGTTGGGGTTCCCTCCTCACCAGGGGGGTGGACAGGTGTGCCGCCCCTCCGGGATCCTGGGGGCTGTCGGGGGGTGTTGGGGTTCTCTCCTCACCAGGGGGGCGGACAGGTGTGCCGCCCCTCTGGGACCCTGGGGGCTGTTGGGGGGTGTTGGGGTTCCCTCCTCACCAGGGTCACCCCCTGGCGGGGAGGTGGGTCCCCGGCCTGCAGCGCCGGGGTCCCTTTGGCCGTCTGTGTGACAGGCAGGCGTGCATGTGCCTGGATCCTGGGACGCATGACCGAAGGAAGGAAGTAGGCTGACCAAGCATCACTGGGGGTAGCCCCTGAGGCAGAGAAGAGGCGGGGTGCAGACTCAGTGAGCATCCCCCCGATGCAGCCCCCATGGGGCATCGCTGCACCTCACTTACCTAGGTGCAGGGCACATAGCAGCAATTCTCATGGTCACCATTGTCCCCAGGCATCAAGAACAGTGGTTCGAGCTGGGCCTGTGATGGGACCTGTTGTGTTTCCGGGCTTTTTGGCACCCCTGGGGGTCAATGTGGAGCACTCGGTGGGGAGAAGAGGGCGGGAGACAGAGGCAGATGGCCCTGGCCTGGAAGGGTAGAGGGGTGGGGTTCCTGAGTGAAGGGGCCCAGGAGCTATCTGAGGAGGCCACAGCTGGGGCGCCTCTCGGGAACTGGGTGCCCCATCAGCTCTGTGCACCCCACGTGGGGCAGGATGGAAAAGAATCCCTGAATTCGGCTCCCAGGGGCACCCCTCATCACGGGGGTGTCGTGTGGCCGTTTGTAGCATGGGCGTGTGGACTCGGGGCCGGCTGGCCTGGGTAGCAGTCCCGACCTGCTACGAAGGCGCCGTGACCTCCTGTCTGTGCCTCGGTTTCCTCATCTGAAAGAGGGGACGATGGTGTCAGGGTCCATGAGCTTGAGCTGGTCCCGGCACCAGGGCTGTGCTCTTGGCCCTCGCTGTGGTTTCCGAGGGGTTGTTCGCAGGGAGAGGGTGAGAGAGCAGAGTGAGAGGGCTGTGAGGAAGGCCCTGCCTCGCTGGGGCTCTGCCACCCCGGACGGCAGAGCTCAGGGCCCGTCTGCCTTATTGTCCTTCACTCGGCATCCATGGATGAATTTCCCCGCCTGCGACATCCCTGGAGCAGGTACAGGAGAAGGCGAGACCCCTGCCCTTCAACCAGGCAGCCCAGCCAGCAGGCAGGCAGGCAGTGAGTGGTTGCAGATGGAGAAAGTCTTTAACGCCAGCTGCTGCTAAGTTGCTTCAGTCGTGTCCGACTCTGTGCGACCCCATAGACGGCAGCCCACCAGGCTCCCCCGTCCCTGGGATTCTCCAGGCAAGAACACTGGAGTGGGTTGCATTTCTTTCTCCAATGCATGAAAGTGAAAAGTGAAAGTGAAGTCGCTCAGTCGTGTCCGACTCTTAGCGACCCCATGGACTGCAGCCTACCAGGCTCCTCCGTCCATGGGATTTTCCAGGCAAGAGTACTGGAGTGGGATGCCATTGCCTTCTCCATCTTTAACGCCTGGTTTTCCTTAAACCCCAAAACACCAAGAACTGAAAAACACTGTCCTTTCACACGTGCCTCGAAGGAGACGTCACCAAATCGCTGCAGGTCTCATGGTATTAATCCTCACCACAGGGTCCCCTGGGCCAGGTGTCGCCAGGCCTATTTTGGACATGGGAAAAACAAGCAGTCTCTGGATGCCGTGGAGAAAGCAGCGTTCTTCGTGACGTTAGACGAAACGGACCAGGGATACAGGGAGGAGGACCCGGAAACGTCGATGGACAGTTACGCCAAGTCCCTGCTGCATGGCCGGTGTTTCGACAGGTATCGCGCTTACCTTCTGAAACACAGTACTTTGCCTGCGAACCTGGAAGAAGCGTGACCTGTGGCTGACACCCAGCCTTAAGTGTCCGCCGCAGTAAGGGGGATGTGAAAATATGACTGGGGGAGTTTCTTCTTTCCACCAAAACTGTCACACACACGCACGCACACACACACGCGTAAGCAGCAGCGTTGAGATCCTTCCCCTCTGCACGACCTCCTCCGCTTGGAGATGCTCGTGAGAAGGGGCTGCCCGGGACCTGCAGCAGGTGGGAGAAGGTGGTGCCCGGGGCCTGACCTGGATGTCGGCTTTGTCTCTGCTCACTGGTCACGTGACTGGGCGAGGCTGCTCCACCTCCTGGAGCCTCTTTCCCCCTCCCTGTGAAGGGAGGTCCTGACTGCCCATCGGGTTGAGGGTGAGGGTTGGCCGAGGTGGGGGAGGGGTGAGGCAGGCACAGTTGGTCCTCCGTGTCCACGGGGTTCAGACAACTATGTGGATCAGGGACCATGTGTCGGAGCCTCGGTGGTGGAGCCTGTGGCCACAGAGGGCCGACTCGGGGGCGGGAGCAGCCCCAGGTTTCCTTACCGGCCAGCGGGTCCCGGAGCCACGCCCCCAGCGGATACCCAGGGAGGACCTTGCGGCTTCCTGTCTCTGCCGGTGTCTGTGCATCCTTTCTCGTTATAACAGTACAGCCTGTTCTCCTTCTGGTCCCCAGTGCCTAAATGCTTCTCTCTGTGTCGGGAGCAGGGGAGAAACCAAAGAGTTAGAGTTCTATGTGTACCTTTTTTTTTTTAACTTTTTAAAAAAAATTTATTTATTTTTGTCTGTGCTGGATTTTCGCTGCTGTGCAGGCTCCTTCCAGCTGCAGTGAGCCCTTGTTGTTCGGGCATCTCAGTGGAGTGGCTTCTCTCTCTCTTTTTTTAGANGTCTGCTGATGGGCATCTAGGTTGCTTCCATGTCCTGGCTATTATAAACAGTGCTGTGATGAACTGTTGGGGGTGCACGTGTCTCTTTCAGATCTGGTTTCCTTGGTGTGTATGCCCAGGAGTGGGATTGCTGGGTCATGTGGCCGTTCTATTTGCATTTTTTTTAAGGAATCCCACACTCTTCTCCATAGCGGCTGTACTAGTTTGCATTCCCACCAACAGTGTAAGAAGGTTCCCTTTTCTCCACACCCTCTTGTGCTGGTTCTTAGTTGCAACCCATGGGATCTTTAGTTGCGGCATGCAGAATCTTAGTTGCGGCATGTGGGATCTAGTTCCCTGACCAAGGATCGAACCTGGGCCCCTGCATTGGGAGTGCGGAGTCTTAGCCACTGGCCCACCAGGGAGGTCTCTGCGGTGGCATCTTGTTGTAGAGCACAGGCTCGAGGGTGCACAGGTCTCAGTGGTTGCAGCTCCAGGGCTCTAGAGCACAGGTCAATAGTTGTGGCCAGCGGGTTTATTTGCTCCGAGGCACGTTGGGACCTTCCCGGACCGGGGATCGAACCTGTATCTCCCGCATTGGCAGGGGAATTCTTTACCACTGAGCCACCGGGGAGGCCCTTCTCTATATCCTTTTATTACTTGTGGAGAGTGATCACCTCTACCAGCCATAGGAGGGGTGGATACAGTCAGTTGAGGCCATCCATAAGAAAACAAACACGTCGTCTGGATTTGCTTTTGTCTTTGTAAACATGTCAGTTGCATAAACGTTTTTGTGTCATGCAGGTGGTTTGATAAATCATTCACGTTTATCATTTTTAAAAACGGCAAGATGGGCATTAACGCGGAGCACTCCTGGGCCGATGCACCCATCATGGGTCACCTTTGGGAGGTGAGTGTCTGAAAGTTTAACTTGACTGTAGAAATTGCTGTTGAAAAACCAAACCCGAGACTGAATTAAACTTCGTAGTATCTGTTTAGTTATAATGTTTTCAGCAGGTGTTGGCACTGTCAACTTATGGCTGAGGTTCCTTAAATGGAAACATTTATTTGTCACATCCTGAAGGGGCCAAAATAATGAGATGGCCTTGGCTCTGACAGAGTGACTTCAGGGCGGAACTGAAGCTCAGTTATTTTGAAAGCTGCCAAGTTTTAGGCCAAATAAAAGCGAAGGTATTGAAATCTTGGTTTATGAAAGGGCAGTGTACCTTTTACCACTTCGCTTATTTCTTAGAATTACCAAGTTACCGAAAAACCCACCAAGACCTGTCATCCTCTCCGTCCACCTAATATTTTACATTTATTTATTTTTTGGCCATGCCGTAAAATGCGCGGTCGTAGTTCCCCAATCGGGGATCGAAGCCAGCCCTCTGCAGTGGAAGTGTGGAGTCCTCACCACTGTTCGTTGTTGATGTCCAATCACTCAGTTATGTCCAGCTCTTTTCAACCCCATGGACTGCAGCACCCCAAGCTCCCCTGGAGTTTCTCCCGGGAAACCTTTAAGAAGGAAAGAAAAAATTGCTGCAGTCTGTAAGACAGCTGTGTGGTCCTAAGACATTAACACATGATAACAGTAGCCAAGTTGTCAAAAAGGCTCTTCTTCATCACCCTTGTCTTTGCTGATGCCGACAAAGGCTGAGAGGTCCTTTCAACTAAAGATCTGTCATAGATCAAACCCCCTTCACTGCTGAATGTGGAAATGAGTCACTTTAAGTCTCTTTGCACTTCGTAATGGTCCACACCTATTACACCCTGTTCCAAGGGCTCTCCCAGTAATAAGAGCATCAGAGCAGTACTTTGGTGAAAGAGAAATCTCTGAGTCATAGGCAGCCTGGATCACATTAGGTACATTTATCTACAGGATACTGACAAGGCCAGGCTTATTTTTTCAGTACTCTGGATAAGATAAGGGTAAAAGGATTTAGTCATTCTTAGAATTACCAAGTTACCGAAAAACCCACCAAGACCTGTCATCCTCTCCGTCCACCTAATATTTTACATTTATTTATTTTTTGGCCATGCCGTAAAATGCGCGGTCGTAGTTCCCCAATCGGGGATCGAAGCCAGCCCTCTGCAGTGGAAGTGTGGAGTCCTCACCACTGTTCGTTGTTGATGTCCAATCACTCAGTTATGTCCAGCTCTTTTCAACCCCATGGACTGCAGCACCCCAAGCTCCCCTGGAGTTTCTCCCGGGAAACTTTTAAGAAGGAAAGAAAAAATTGCTGCAGTCTGTAAGACAGCTGTGTGGTCCTAAGACATTAACACGTGATAATAGTAGCCAAGTTGTCAAAAAGGCTCTTCTTCATCACCCTTGTCTTTGCTGATGCCGACAAAGGCTGAGAGGTCCTTTCAACTAAAGATCTGTCATAGATCAAACCCCCTTCACTGCTGAATGTGGAAATGAGTCACTTTAAGTCTCTTTGCACTTCGTAATGGTCCACACCTATTACACCCTGTTCCAAGGGCTCTCCCAGTAATAAGAGCATCAGAGCAGTACTTTGGTGAAAGAGAAATCTCTGAGTCATAGGCAGCCTGGATCACATTAGGTACATTTATCTACAGGATACTGACAAGGCCAGGCTTATTTTTTCAGTACTCTGGATAAGATAAGGGTAAAAGGATTTAGTCCTACATCAGGGTGACCAGTTGGATACAGTGGTGTTTAACTGTTAACTGCCCAGTGGACACAGTGGCCTGTGACTCCAGGGATCAGACAGGAGCCCAGATGCTCCCTGTGTGGATGAGAACTGACCCACCGTCTTGTCATGGAGGCCCACACCAGGGCCAGTTAACTAGCTGGTATAAAGATGCCACCTGTGCCAATTAAAGACAAATCTGGTCCAAGCTGAGTCCTATTGGCTCTCTGTGTATTTCTGGTGTTGGTGTTGGACTCGGGCTCTGATGCAGAGCAGACACAGCTTGGCTGGGCCCCTTCACAGGCTCAGCTCACAGGGGCACTGAGCACATGTGCATGAGATGAGGCCCCCCCTTACACCTCCCCATCCCTGAGCCGCTGCCCTCTCCGCCTCACTATCCAACAGTGTCACCATCTGACCTTGGGCTCTTTTTTGGTTCATTTTGCTTCCCCCACTGGAACGTAAGCTCCCCAAGGGCAGAAAAACCTTTTTAAAAATATTTTTATTATTTTTTAAAATTCAGATGTCATTCACAAAGCATATAGTCCACCTCTTCAAGTGTACAGTTCAGTGTGGTTGTTCTTTCCATCACCACTGTCTCATTCCAGGACACTTTCATCACTCCCAAAAGAAAACACCTTCCTCCACCCCCACCCCACCCAACTTGGTCACCACTAATCTCCTTTCTGTCTCTGCCTGTTCTAGCCATTTCATAGAAATGGAATCAGCACAGTACGTGGTCTTGTGTGTCTGGCTAGTGTTTTCAGGATTCATCTATATTGTTCTAGAGGGCTTCATTCCTTTTTAAAAATTTTTTTGGGGATCTCAGTTCCCCAACTGGGGATTGAACCTGGCCCACAGCAGTGAAAGTCCAGAATCCTAAATAGTATTCCTTCGCATGATAATACTGTATTTTATCTGTTCATAACTTGATGGACATTTGGGTTCTTTTTGCTTTTTAACTACTATAAACATTGCTTCTGTGAACATCAGTGCACAAGTTGTATGTGAACATGCGTTTTCATTTCTTTTGAGTACATACCGAAGAGTGGAATTGCTTGGTCACGGCCATCTTTAAACTTGTAGAAAGGCAGAAATCCCTGTCTGCTTTCTCAATGGTGCTTAGAAGCATTGCTGACTCATAGCTGTTGTTCAGTCACTAAGTCGTGTCTGACTCTTTGCTACCCCATGGGCTGCAGCACGCCAGGCTTCCCTGTCCTTCACCATCTCCTGGAGTTTGCTCAAACTCATGTCCGTTGAGTTGGTGATGCCATCCAACCGTCTCATCCTCTGTTGTCCCCTTCTCTTCCTGGCCTCAATCTCTCCCAGCATCAGGGTCTCTTCCAATGAGTCAGCTCTTCGAATCAGGTGGCCAAAGTACTGGAGGTTCAATTTCAGCATCAGTCCTTCCAGTGAATATTCAGGTTGACTCATAGTTGGTGCTCAGTAAATACCATTGAATAAACTGCCTTAAGATTACCTGCCAGTGAACAGAAAGCATTTACACCTGGGCCCACATCCTGGCTCCCTGAGAAGTGTGAACTCGTATAGACTCTTCACCTCGCTAAGGCGGTCTTCTTATTTGTACGAGTAAGAATAGGAGTTACTGCCTTACAGGGTCAGTATCCATCAGGGTAACACCCAGAGGGTACCAGCTCAGAGCCAGGATGTAAAAGCAGGCTCTGAGCTACTTTCTGTGAATCATACACTCAGCTTGAACCCTGGCTTTGACCCTTACTTGTCCAAACACTGTCGAACCTCTCCAGGTCTATCTTTCTTGCCCCTGAAGCAGAGGTCAGACTACCTCATTAGGTGGCTGTTCATAGGAGGTCAAGTGCTCAGCAGACCGTAAGCAAGTAGCTATGGCTAAGTCTTGATTGCATTTCTAGAAAGAAAAGGATGTGCTCTGAGAGGTCAGATGACTTGTATGTAACACCGTTACCTGTGATGATCTCTAACTTAACCGATGTGTCTTTATTTTTGACAGTATGTCATGGCCACGGACAGCTTCCAGCTGGGTTACACAGAGGATGGACACTGTAAAGGAGACCCCAACCCGAACATTCCGTACCCCACCCGGCTGCAGTGGGACATCCCGGAGGAAGTAAGTCCCACTCCTCAGATGCTTGTCAACTACCTCGGATGGGAGACGTGTCTAAACTCTCACAGTCGACTTTTCCAGCGGTCCTTCCTGAGTGCTCACGAGTTCAGTTGAATGCCCCCGAGACAGAAATCTGTCCACCTGGGCATTTCTTCCTGGGACCTCGAAACTGCTATAGCTCCTATTGCCTTGGGAGCCCCAGTCGGCAGTTCTTCTTTCACTGAAAGCTTTTGGCTAAGATTGTCAGTGAAATTCCTAGCTCAAACTTAGCTAGACATCACAATGAAAAAGTGAAAATTGAAATCATTTCCTTTGGAGTTGAAGTGCACTAGATCACTAATTTGTCATGTTCTTCCCTCTGAGTGTTCTCCAATGCAGTTTACTCCATGGAAGCCCTTTGGGGAAGGAATTTTAGGGCTGGAAATACCAAATCAAAGCCAAGCAGGAATTCCCAGGGCCTTGGAAGACTTTTTCTTTTTTGAAATCATTTTTGACATAGAAAATATTGGATCCGTACTACAAGGTCTTATCCATCTGCATCTTTTTGTCCAGCCTGCATCCCTGCGGCTGGTGTGTGGTCCTCAGAGAGGCATGACTTCTGCTGAAGTATGTGACAGAGTGCTTCTAGCTGACTAAGCCACTTAGCATTTATTAAAAAGATTTTTTTGATGGATTTTAGTTTTTAGAGGGGTTTTAGGTTCGCAGCAAAATCCGAGTGGAAGGTGCAGAGTTCTCCCACACTCTCCCTGTCCTCACACACGCACAGCCACCCCCACTACCAGTATCCCTACCAGCTGGTCCGTGTGTTACTGGCGATGAAGCTGCACTGACCCGTCAGCATCACTAAAGCTCGTAGCTCACATCCGGGTTCACGCTTGCTGTTGTGCATCTGTGGTGTGGACAGAGATATAATGACACGCGGAGCAGTGTCCCTGCCCTGAAGCCTCCCCTCATCCCTCTCTCCCGCCTTGCTCCTGGCAGGCGGGATCTCACCGGCTCCATCACGTTGCCTCTCCCTGAACGTCAGACAGCTGGAATCGTTCGTGTGGAGCCGTTTCAATGACTTCTTTCCCTTAGTCATGTGCATTTAAGAGCTGTTGCATGACTTCACGGCCGAGGACTCACTTCTGTTTACAGTTGCCCCGCAGTCCATATCCTTTTTTTCTTTTTCTGGCTGTGCCGATTGGTATGTGAGAACCTAGTTCCCCAACCAGGGATCAAGGCTGCACCCCCTACAGTGGAAGCACAGTCTTAACCACTGCACCACCAGGGAGATCCCAGTCCATTTCTTTTTTAAAACTGGTCCCTCGATGGCTAGCATATAACAAGAATGGATCTCATGAAACAAAGCCTGTGACTCTTTGAAATGCCCTCTGGGGGTCCCACTGGGACCAGTTCCTCCTGTGTGGGCCACCCCATTGCTGTTTGAGGGGTGAGGGGGAGTGCCACATTACCAACTTACTGCGACTCTCAGGTTAGAAAGATTGGGAAAAACCAAGAAGTAAGCGTGATGTATGTATTTCCAAGCAACAAGTCTGTCTGTCAGCTGTGCTGAAAGTCAGCTTGCGTTTTCTTCAGTTTGTGTCAGAACTTCCCCGCCCATTAAAGTGAAGCCTTTTCTCCTTTGTCCCCAAGTGTCAGGAGGTCATTGAGACTTCGCTGAGCAGCGCCAACCTCCTGGCCAACGACGTGGATTTCCACTCCTTCCCATTCCGCACTTTCGGTAAAGGGCTGATCAAGAAATGTAAAACCAGCCCGGACGCCTTCGTGCAGCTCTCGCTCCAGCTGGCTCATTACAAGGTGAGACCCCTCCCACAGCTGGGCTTTTTGTCCTGAGCACTCCTGGGGGCCCTGAACGCAGGCCCAAGCCTGCCCGCCCAGCGAGTAGGGGAGGACCCGTCATGCGAGCTAGTCGTGCCTGGAACGGCAGTGGGTTCCCGCTTCACACCGGAGGAGAGGCAGAATGTAGGGGCTGGTAGGCAAGTGAGATCTCCTCGTTCTACAAAGCAGGAATTAGACATGTAAGCTCCCAATCCTAGGATTTGGGAAAGCAGAACTACTTAGGGCAGGCAACTGGGGGTCTCTGACCCTTGACATCCTCTCCCATAGGAGGGGATACACCAGCCCCATGGGAGGTATTCTGGGATGGATGGGGTCCCTGTATGCACAGATGCCTGTGATGTTTCCAGGGCCCTGGAGGACCTCAGTGGGACTCTTTTCCACTGGAGGGAGCATTCCACCCTGAAAGGGTGGCCCTGGTTTCCAGGGGCAGTGGAAGTCCTTGTGGCATTGGGTCAAGATATGTCCTGGCTTTAATGGAGAATTTCTGTCTTCAAAGCTTGGGGGTTGTACATGGATGCAGGGCAGCATTTCTGGGTGGTGGGCCTGCTGTGTGAATTTCGCTTTGTGCCAGGCACTGGTCTCCATGCTCTACTCACATAGTTCTCATAGTCTCCTCACTAGGAAGTCTCTATAGTTGGCCCATTTTACTGGTTGAGAAAATCGGGGTTCACTCCAAGAGGTGAGCTGACCAGCTGCCAAGGTGATACTGGAGTCAGGAATGGGTCCTGGGGGCAGCCTGTAGCTTCGATTCCTCTATAACTCAGGTCAGGAAGATAAACAGATGCAGTACACCACAAGAGGCAGTGTTAGTATCAGATAAATGGCAACAGATGGGCCACAACTGTACTTTAAGTCGACTCTAGTACAGCTGATGGATGCACAAAAAGACAGCCACGGACCAGTTTTGCTCACAAATGCAAATGCAAAAAGTCTAAATAAGGTAATAGCAAATAGTATCAACCAGTATAAGGAAAATACAGCAGCCAACAATAGCTAACACCAGTGATAGGAGGATGGTTTGCTTTAATAAAATAATAGATTTAATTATGTTGCTAGCTCAGAGAAGAAGCCAGTCATTTTGACAGATGCTGACGAGGCATTCATAATGGAGCATCCCTACTCAGTAACTCTTAGCATAGGGGCTATCTCCTTAACACAGTAAATCTCATCGTGTGCCAGCAGCCAGGGTCTTCCTCAGAGGTGGAGTGTGGAGGCAGCCCCATTAAAGCAGGAAGGATGAAGCAACCTCCAGGGGCTGTTATTGAATGTCTTTGCATTAAAGGGCGTGAGTGCAGCTGTCAGGATCACTGGGCAGAAGAAATATGCGCACATCTGCTCAGAAGATGGAGCGGGCGGGAAAGCTTTTATGGTTAGGAAGCTTGCTCAGTAAGGCGGTCTGGTGCAGAATTATACAAAGACCAGCATCTTGGTCTTATCGCTGTGATAGTCCAGCAGGAATCGTGGTAGGAAAATGTGATAGGAACTAGAAGCAAAAACCTGGGATTCCCCAAGCCTCTCTTTATAAGGCAGACAGGACCTCTGGGGAAAAGACCCAGAGCCTGGAAGAGGGAATGGACCCTCGGAGAGGGAGGGGAGGCTGTGATTTTGGACAGAAAGGCTCAGCACCTGGGAGATGAATGTCCCCGGTTCACACATGCACTGTGAACACCGTCAGAGGCCAGCAGAAGACTTTAGGAGAGGGGCTGGGCTGGTTTACCTTCAAGTTCAAATGGAGGGCTAACATTTGAGAATAACCGGTAATATTTTGAAAAGGAAAGGTTGTCAGGTGGAGATGGGGCAGGGTGAGGTGGAGACTTGCTCTTTCAAAGCTGAAAATATAGAAATCAGAAGCTTATAGTGATTAACACAGTATAGTTTTGGTGCCAGAATAGTTCCATGGAATCACGTAACAGTTAATTTGACACTGATTACTTGTTTTAATAACCCAAGCAGTTATATTTATTCTTTGCACTCTGGCTAGAAACAGCCAGAATTTCATTCTTGACCTCCCACCCCTCTACCAATTCCTCATGTGGCACTCAGTCTATTAAAAATGATTGACCGAAGTCTATTAAGAGTTTAAAGCAGACTCCTTTGTTCAAAAGTTCTTTCCTGCAGGCCTGTTGGAAGGCCAGCTCTGTTAGGAACAGGCTTCGCTGTGGCACTCACAGACACGTCTCTGCCCAGCTCTGGGCTGGAGGGCCTCACGGGGGCTCCTGCACAAATCCAGACATTCTGGGTGGCCCTGGGGTGGGGGGGCTTCTGCTCTAGCCCCCTAACCTTCTTTGTGCCCTGGACCCCTTGTGCAGTTGGAGAAAGGCTTGGGGATCCCTTCTCAGAGTAACGTTTAGAAAGCATAAAATGAAATGCATAGGGTTACAAAAGTAACCAGTTAATTTTCATGCAGGTGTCAAAATAGTAAGCGTCTATTTGTGGTGCAGTAGCTGTGCTTCTTTTTTTGGATACAATTTTATTTCTTTTATTAGTTTTGGCTGTGCTGAGTCTCCCTTGCTGCGTGGGCTACCCTCTAGTTGGTATGCAGGCTTCCCATCGCGGTGGCTTCTCCTGTTGCGGAGCACGGCCTCTCGGGCACGGGGGCATCAGTAGGTGCCACACGTGGGCGCAGTAGTTGCGGCTCCCGAGCTCTAGCACACAGGCTCAGCAGTTGTGACGCACGGACTTAGTTGCTCCGCAGCATGTGGGATCTTCCTGGATCAGGTATCGAACCCGTGTCTCCTGCATTGGCAGGTGGATTCTTTACCACTGAGCCACCAGGGAAGCCCTAGGTGTAATTGTTCATGCACTGACTTTCAAGCAGCAGGTCTGATAAGTGCCTTTAACTTGAAGCAGTGATAAGCTGAGATGCTATTTTGGGATATCTGCAGTAACCACATGCTGTGCGCGTAATCGCTCAGTCGTGTCCGACTCTCGGACCCTGTGGACTGCAGCCCGCCAGGCTCCTCTGTCCATGGGGACTCTCCAGGCAAGAAACTGGAGTGGGTTGCCATGCCCTCCTCCAGGGGATTTTCCCAACACAGGATTGAACCCAGGTCTGCCACAGTGCGGGCAGATTCTTTACCACTGAGCTGCCATAATTTGATGTGAAAATAGCTGTGATTTTTTTTTTTTCCTATTCAGCATCACAGGCACTGCTCATAACTCCTGTGATTTGTTGCCTATGCTTCTAAATGCTGTAATTCACTTTGTGGTTTAATTTCACTTTTTGAAATTAAAAAACTATGCGTATTTTCCATCCAAGTCTACGCATCCCCAGAGTTAGTCGCCTTTGATTCGGTCCTTATGCTGGCCTTCTCTGGCGCTTCCCTGGGCCTGCTCCCTCCTTTCGCTGCTCTTGAATGTGCCGGGCTCGTTTCACCAAAGGAAAACTTGCTCTGCGCTGACAGTTAATAACACCCAGATTTTTTTTAATGGTTTTTTAGCATTGCATCATATGGGATCTTACTTAGTCCTCTGACCAGGGGTAGAACCCGCATGCCCTGCATTGGAAGCACTGAGTCTTAACCTCTGGACTGCCAGGGAAGTCCTCACTACCTCCCAGATCAAGGTGGGGTTGCTGAGATCTCCTATTTAAAAGAGCCCTACTGGGATTTCCCTGGTGATGCAGTGATTAAGACTGTAATTCCAATGCAAGGGGCTCAGGTTTGAACCCTGGTCTGGGAAGTAAGATCCCACATTCTGTGCAGCACAGCCGAAAACTAAAAAAAAATTAAAAACAAATAAATAACCCTCCTCCCCATCATGCTCTTCCCCGACCGTGCGTTATTTCTGTGCATTGTACCTGTCACTCCACGACGTCAGAGGTGTGTTCATCTCCCACACTAGAATGCTGGAGATGGGCAGGGATGTGATCTCTCTCCTTTGCCAGCGCATCCCAGTGCCCGGAATGTGATAGCCACCACGGAAGAGGCATCAGTAAATACATACTGAGCAATTGATTTAATGAAGACCTGGGCCGTGGTCATAATTCTAAGCTATAGCTATTGGCTTCCTGTTTTGGGGTCATATTTTTTTCTCACTTGGAAAACAGAGGTGAAGGTTCCCCCCTAAATGCCACCAATCCCAACAGTTAGCTCCAGAGCAGCAATCCAAGTGTGCAAAAGGTTTGTGTTCTCACGCCGTGTGTGTTAATATCTTTATAGACTTTGTCTTTTGATCCTGCTGGTTAGACACTGGAGGTGTTTTGGCAATGGCCGCTCTCCTGATGGTGAGATGGTGGCTGGTCATAGCGGTTTAAGTGTGTGTAGCCATAACCGGCTTGGGGTCTGAGTACACTAATATTCAGTGCATCGGCCATGAGGTTTTTAGATGGTCATTAAAAAATTGTGGGTGTGATGCATGATTGCACTAACCACTTATATAGTTAAAGTTTGATGTTGGAAAGTTGACTTCAAATAAATCATTGCATCATATACCCCAAGATAACCTGTATTAAATGACTAAAATAGCACGTTTATTCTTTTTCCTCATCCCCTCCTTCCTTCCAGGCTCCCCAGTGCTTTATGATAAGACCCTTGGAAGGCCCCCCATAGTAAGCTCCCCTCCTATAGGGAATTCTCTGAAAGGCATATTTGGTAAAATGACCTTAGTTAGACTCTGTAGGCCAGATGAGGGGTTAGAACCTCTCAGACCGCATCCAAGGGAAATTTAATAGCCAGTGTGTTAGAGGATGAGTAGATTATGAGCCGGCGGGGCTTTGTGCTGGGTGTGGGGGGTGCCCACCGGAGGCTGAGACGGCACTCAGAACCCGTGGCCAGCTGGCTTCCTCCCTGACCACGCAGGGTGGTGGGGACAGCCAGTGTTAAGTCTGCCGACCAGCCGGCTGCTCACAGGTCTGGACTGCACGTCAGAAGTGCAGCCTTGCCATCTCCTGGATGAACAGTGTCAGCCTATTGCAGGTGTCCCCTGTCACCCTGGGGCCACCAGGACCCAAATGCCCCGAGGGACGTTGTCTGGTCAGAAGTAACCTGGGTCCACAGTCTGCTGCTCAGCACTTTGCCGTCCCCACGGGGAACCCGGTCATCTTCGAGCTGGGGCTTTGCGGGTGGTTTCCGCCGGCATCGCAGGTGGTGGGCCGCCCCGAGCCCCCATGGGCCTGTGCCTGTCCTCGTCATCCCTGGCCACCTCTGTCTCGGGCCCTTGCGGAACTGTCCACACATCACCCAGGTCTTTGCATCATCCCGTCTCCCCTCTGGCCTCTGACACCAGCATTCCTTATCGCAGTCTCCATCCTGCCCTGCCCGCTCCCCGTCTATCTCGCCTCCCTTTTTGCCTCTCGGGCTTAGATTCCACCACCTGTCGCTATCACCCCGACCTCTGTCCTAGAGCCCCAGGCACAGCGGACACACCCCCGGTCAGTCCAGTGTCTGCCTGCTTTGGTGCTGTGCTGAGAAGCCGACACAGCCCGAGAAACCCCCCACACCGCGCCTCATCTTTCTTAACCCATGAGCCCTGACGCCGGTGGCCCCAGGTCACCCACTCTCTACACCCCCAGAGCCTGTTTCCCACCACTTTGCTGGCTCCCGGCACCTCCCCTCCATCCCCTCTCTCTTAGGAGGTGGAATTCCGTATTTCACCAAGAAAGGGAACGTTCTAAAGAGACCCCGTCTGCTCCCCTCAGCGCCTGCCAGCCCCGCAGAGCCGGCCCCTCCTGCTTTCTCTCCCTCTTGTCTAATGGCCGGGGTGGGGGACTCTGTGCTGCAGGCGCTGGCCGCCCACCCACTCCCCGCCCCCTCAGAGGAGGACCTTCCTGACCTGGAGTTAAGTCATTCTCAGCTCCTGCATGCAGTTCCCGGTACTGTACCACATTCTTCCTAAAACCACGTCTGCACTCGGGCGGGTGTGTGAGATCCAGAAACCGGGTCATGGCCCCAGTCGCATCTGGACACGGAAACCTGGACCCTCCCTCCCTTTTCAAAGCTAGTGACGTTTCCACTGCGTGCTGCATAAGCCCGTGTGAAAACTGACAATAAAAACTGCCTCTGCGATGATGTCTGCTTTTCCTGGCCGACTTCAACCGCTCCCCTCGTGTCTTTGTCAACACGCCCAGCCTTGTGTTAAGATATTTTTCCTTTCCCAGGACATGGGTAAATTTTCCCTCACCTATGAGGCCTCCATGACCCGGCTCTTCCGAGAGGGCAGAACAGAGACCGTGCGTTCTTGCACCACTGAGTCCTGCAACTTCGTGCTGGCCATGATGGACCCCACACAGACGGTAGGTTCTGCCTGGCCAGGAGGAGAACAGCCCCCCAGGGGCCGTCTCTGCTGTTCAGAGGATGACACCCGAGGTTGGCATGCAGACTTCCCTGATTAAATCCCATGCATACTTCTCCAGCGAGCCCGCATCCAGCATCTCCTTCCTTCCCTCCACCCGTCTCGGGAGGACAGAGAGTATTAAAGGCAACCATCTAGACAGACACAAATGTTCATGTTTGCATAACCTACAAGTGAGGTTATACTTCATAGGAGTCTCTTAATATTTATTTATTTTTTATTATTTGACTGCACCGGGTCTTAGTTGAGTCACGTGAGATCTTTAGTTGTGGCATGTGCGATCTACTTCCCGGACTGGGGATCAAACCTGGGCTCCCTGCATGGGAGACTCATAGCCACTGGACCATCAGGTAGGGCCCCCTCAGAGTCTTTAAATCAGAGCGGTGCGCAGGCGGTGAACACAGGAATGGGAGGGGAGGGAGCAGGAGAATGCTGGTAGTTGGTATCTGGCTGAGAAAATGGTGACCGTCCGTGGGCGCCTTCTTGTCTTGTTATTATTATTGTTACTATTTTTTGTTGGTTCTTATGGCATGTGAGATCTTAGTTCTCTGACCAGGGATTGAACCCACAACTCCTGCATTGGGAGCGTGGATTCCTAACCACTAGACCACCAGGGAAGCCCCACACAGACACCTTCTGCCCGGGGTTCATGAAGCCCGCTGCCCACACTGAAGCCCCCCGAGCAGGCTCAGGGCTCTGGGCTGTATTGCCTTTGACAGTCTTAGTGGCGGCTTGTGAAGCATTATCAGGTTTTTTTTTTTTTTTTTTTATCAGTTTGTTTTTGATAGATAAAGGAACAGAGACTTAGCAGAATCCAGCAAACTGCTGACCACACACCCAGTGAGGGGCTGAGGCCCATCCTGTCCGGGTCTGCTGACCCCCGAGGGGACACGGCCCGGGGTTTTGCTCTGCTCTGGGGAGCTCCTTCCTGGGAAGGCTGTCAGTTCTCTGGGGAGGAGCTCGGCAGGTCTCATCACAGATGGCTCTGATCTGTCACTAGCTGCCTTCAGAACAGCCTGAGGGCTGGGTCTGGAGTAGACAGGCCTCCACATCCACGGAAGGGCTTGTGTCTCCTCGTTCTGAGATTGACCGACAGGGCCCTAAAGAACGTGGAGAGGCCTTTTCGGGTCCGACTTGTAGGCCCCAGAAGCGCTGTTTGGCCCAGCTGCCAGCCCACCCTGGAGGGTTACTTAAAGGCCCACAGGAATGTCGCAGCCCCCTGAGAGGAAAGGGACTTGGTTCCACACGATGAGATGTGAAGGCTGGCGCTTTCCTACCTGCTTAGTGGTCTCGTTCTTGTAAAAGGTGAAATGACGCCCAGTGGGCCGCACACAGGATCCTGAAACTGCCTCTCCAGCACCCTGTCCCCTCCACAGCCTCGCAGCAGGAATCTGGGGCAGGGGCAGCCGGCCAGTGGCGTTTCTGGTCAGGTTGCCTTGGCAACCACCCAGAGACCACCCAGACCCCCTGCCCGCCCCACCGGTGACCTGCTGTCTCAGCACCCTGTTGGACCGCTGGGGAGAAGGAAGGGCCTGTGACCGTCATCTTGGAGCTTAGACCGTGCTGCACGACTCGAAACTGCCTATCCTTTGTTATTTCAGGTTGAACAGAAGCTCAAGTTATTCAAGATCGCATCTGAGAAGCATCAGCTTCTGTACCGCCTGGCGATGACTGGCGCGGGGATTGACCGCCACCTCTTCTGCCTCTACGTGGTGTCCAAGTACCTCGCGGTCGACTCCCCTTTCCTGAAGGAGGTGAGGCCCTTCTGTGCAGCCCACTTGGCTTTCTTGGCTAAACTGAACTTAGTCAATCTTCGGGCAAAACTTAGTACAACTTAGTACAACTTTGCCAGTCAGAACTGGCCTATCAGATGGGTTCCAGGGCTCAGCGGTCCTCACTCTGGAAAATCTGAGCCACATTTCTTCAACCCCTGGGATGCCATTGTTGCTTAGTCGCCAAATCACATCAGACTCCTTGCAACCCCATGGATTACAGCGCACCAGGCTCCTCTGTCCTCCACTGTCTCCCAGAGTTTGCTCAAACTCATGTCCATTGAGTCGGTGGTGCCATTCAACCGTCTCGTCCTCTGTTGCCCCCTTCTCCTCCTCTGTTGCCCGCTTCTCCTCCTGCACTCAATCTTTCCCAGCATCAGGGTCTCTTTCATTGATTGAGTCAGCTTTTCACACTAGGTGGCCAAAATATTGAAGCTTCAGCATCAGTCCTTGCAATGAATATTCAGGGTTGATCTCCTTTAAGATTGACTGCTTTGCTCTCCTTGCAGTCTAGGGGACTCTCAAGAGTCTTCTCCAGCACCACAGTTTGAAAGCATCAATTCTTCAGTGCAAAGTCTTCTTTATGGTCTGACTCTCACATCTGTACATGACTACTGGAAAAACCATGCTTGTACTAAAATAATTATCAAGTGATGAGCTCTGAAAGACTGATGCTAAAGCTGAAACTAATACTTTGGCCACCTGATGCAAAGAACTGACTCATTTGAAAAGACCCTGATGCTGGGAATGATTGAAGGTGGGAGGAGAAGGGGACGAAAGAGGATGAGATGGTTGGATGGCATCACCGACTCGATGGACATGAGTTTGGGTAAGCTCCGGGAGCTGGTGGACAGGAAGGCCCGGCGTGCTGCTGTCCATGGAGTCGCAAAGAGTCAGACACAACTGAACTGAACTGATGAGCTCTGAGGTGGTTTGTTTGTTTTTTTTGACCACCCTGCAGAGCATGTGGGATCTAGTGCTCTGACCAGGAATTGAAACCTGTGCTTCCTGCAGTGGGAGCCCAGGGTCGTAACCGTTGCATAGCCAGGGAAGTCCTGAGCTCTGAGTATTTACGTCTTTCACTTTTAATATAGTTGCTTTACTCTTATGTTTATAAAATTCAATTTTTTAGCAGTGGCTGTGTTTAACGGGCAGCTTGGAAAATTCCTCGAAGTTTGGCCCTCAGCTTAGGGAGCTGGTACCAGTCTGCTCCAGCACACAGCCGCTGCATTCCACATCGTACTCCATGTATCTGCCACCTTTTCTGCCCAGGACCCCGTCAGCCAGTGTTTGCCTCTCTAGTCCAGGTGTCCTCACCCGCTCCATCCCTCTCCAGAGAACCCCTGCCCCGAGAGCCGGCAAGGCCCCCAGGGCCATAGCCTCTGGTGTCTGAAACAGTCCAAACACCAAGCAAACCTTTCCTCGTCTCCTGGGCTCCTTGGGGGCAGAAAGGAATGAACTGGGAAGTGTCATTAGAATGTCCCCTTGTTTAACTCCCCAGGTCCTATCTGAGCCTTGGAGATTATCCACCAGCCAGACCCCTCCACAGCTGGTGGAGCTGTTCAATTTGGATAAGAATCCGGACTACGTGTCGAGCGGAGGAGGCTTCGGGCCGGTAAGTGGCCGGGCATCTGAGTTCACAAAGCAGCAAGCGCCAGGGCAAGATGGGCCTGTCTCAGTTATAAGCACCCCGCCCTGAAGGAGCTCCTACTGGTTATTCATGCCAGTATGAGTGGCAATCTCATTAAAGGTCCGAAATTCCCTTTGCCCATGGCCTCATTTCCACCATTCTGATGATTCATTCCCTCACCACGCCACATGGTATGTGGGATCTTAGTTCCCCAACCAGGGATCGAACCCATGTCCCCTGCAGTGGAGGTGCAGAGCCCTAAGCACTGGACCACCAGGGAACTCCCCCAAGTTCAGCTTGAATGTGCTTTTTCTATAGGTTGCTGATGATGGCTATGGGGTGTCGTACATTCCTGTTGGTGAGGACCTCATCAGTTTCCATATATCCTCCAAGTTCTCCTGTCCTGAGACGGTAAGTACAAAAGTCCCCCCCCTTCCCAGGATGGAGTATTTGTACTATTTTCTTTTGAAGGGGGTAGGTAGGGGGGCACATCCCTGATTTGGCAGAAAATTTCAATTCAGTTGTTTACTCTTCCTTGGTTGGGATGTTTTCAGAGCAAGGATTTTAATAGTTTTAAAGGGATCCATCTTATTTGATTGAAAGTCTTCACCTTTGCTGGTAGCTGTGGTTTCAAATCTAAATGTTGCAGTGCTTCTACAATGTTTAGACTCTCTGTAACAGTGAATGGTTGGCTTCCCACCAGTGGCGCTAGTGGGAAGGAAGCTGCCTGCCAATGCAGGAGATGTAAGAGACATTAGTTAGATCTCTGGGTGGGGAAGACCCCCTGGAGGAGGAAATGGCACCCCACCCAGTGTTCTTGCCTGCAGAATCCCATGGACAGAAGAGCCTGGCAGGCTGCAGTCCATGGGATCGCAGAGTCGGACACGACTGAAGTGCTTAGCAGGCACGAAACGTTGAAGGGTAGAGTTAAGATCTGTGTGCGTGAGCTGAGTAATTCACACACATAATGCAGCGGTGGTCTGCGGTGTTCTCTGAATGGAACCCGTGACCTCATTCCTAGCATGGCACATTTAATCCTGATTTATATTCTCACCTTTCCACATTGTACGTCGCCTGACAGTCTGTGCCAGGTTCACCTTTAACAGAGACGTTTGGAATTCACTTGCTTATTATGCTTTATGTAATGCATTGACATTAGGGAAAAAAGGTAACATGCATCCCAATGTTCACAGCAGCACTATTTGTAGTAGCCAAGACATGGAAGCAGCCTGAATGTTTATCAACTGATGAATGGATAAAGAGGTGATATATATATACACACACACATATATATATACATACACACCACTAGAATATTACTCAACCATAAAGATAATGAAATAATGCCATCTGCAGCAACATGGATAGGCCTAGAGATTATCACACGAGATGAAGTCAGACAAAGGCAAATATCATATGGTTATCGGTTATATGTAGAAATAAAATGATACAAATGGACTTATTTACAAAACAGAAATAGACTCACAGACATAAAAAACAAATTTATGGTTACCAATGGGGATAGGGAGTGGGGAGGGATAAATCAGGAGTTTGAGGTTAACAGATACACACTATTATATATAAAATAGGTAATCAACAAGGGCCTATTGTATAGCACAGGGAACTCAATACTTTATAGTAACCTATATAGAAAAGAATCTGCAAAAGAATGGATATCTTTATTACGTATAACTGAATCACTTTGCTCTACACCTGAACTTCACACAATATTATAAATCAACTGTACTCCAATATAAAATAAGAATTAAATTTTAAAAATAACTATTAAAGCCGTTTAACTATGAAAGATAAGGTGTTGGGAGCTAATGGAAACTTCAAAAGGTGTGTGACAATTAGCAGAGGCATAGAAGTTACATTTGCTCTGTGAATTGTTATATGACAAGAATAAGACAAGTACTGTTCACACTACCCTTAATAAGTTGTTTTTTTAAAAAAATTAAGCACCTTAGATCTCAAAACAAATACAACCATATATAAAATAGGTAAACAACAAGGTCATACTGTATAGCCCAAGGAACTATAGTCAGTGTCTCGTAATAATAACCTACCATGGAAAGGAAAAAACACGCACCCACACAAACACGTAAGCTGTTATCTTTATGAACCCGTAACATCTCACCAGACTCTGTAACTTAATGATTCGATCACCGAGTCAAAGCTTAGAAAACTGGCAAAAAGGAATGCTAGTTCTTTGAGTCAGATTACAAGTGAAAAGGCTTGAAATGTGAAAAATTCCACATCGTAACCAGTTTCTTTTTGTTTGTTTGTTTTTAAATGAAAGGATTCTCATCGCTTCGGGAAGAACCTGAGAGAAGCAATGATCGACATCATCAGTTTGTTCGGGTTCAGCCCCAATTCCAAGAAGTAAATCTCTCAGCACTTCCGGGAAGGAAAAGAAGTTCTTCTGATGAAAAACCAAATGAAAAATAGCTCTGTATCCTGACTGTATTTCAGGATGAAAATTTGTTTCCTTCCAGTGAAGGTTTGGTGTTTTTGCTTTTCTAGGACAGCAGGCTCCACGCCATGAAGTATAACCCTACTCCTTCTAAACAGTTCCTAACCTGGGGGACATTGGATGAAGTCCCCCCTAAAGTCTTCCCATCACCTTACATTTCTTAAGGGACAAGCGATTTTTGGAATGAGTGGGGTTGTGGCTTCATACTCGCTGGAAACAGACCGGCACGCTTCCTTGGCTGCCACTGGACACCTGGTACTTATGGGCATTTAATTTGATCAGAGCAGTGTAAACATTTGTTTCCTTCCGAGAGAAAAGCATTTTTTAAGTTGCAGATGTTAGCAGCTAATAGCCGACGCACATGCAATGCACTAATCAAGAAAAGCTTTGTGCTTTTGGAATCTGTTCTGTCCTGTGGTCGCTCTGTCACTGTCTAGTTCGGTCGTCTGCACTTGCCTCTACGTGTTTGAAGTCTTCAAAACCCAGTGCCTTAAAAACAGAAGGCCCTAAGTGTAAGGGAGACCACACAAGAGATTTATTTTAAGTCTTTAGGTGGAATTGTGGGTGTCTCACTCCCATCTCAATTTACTGGGTGGATATCTCTATGTAGGAATTTTCCTGTGGTGTCCCCATGTCCCAGAGGGACCAGTCCCCTTACAAGGGCAGCTGTAAGCTGGATTCCCTTCCATCAGACTGCCTTCCTCAAGCTTCATTGTTAAGCTACAAAAGAAGACATGTGTCAGAAATGGTGAGCGAGGGATGTGATGGTTGAAGATAGCGTGTCTGAAGAACACACATCCTAGGTGCTTTGGGATTCCTGCTTACCCAGCCTGACAGCAGGGAGAACGTGACACTTGCCACGGAGAAAGGAACAAACTTGAGAAGAGCGAACCTCAGGCAGTCAGGGCTCGCCATCCCACCTGGTGAGAGAGGACATCCACTCCCGTTTCCAGGGAGACAGAGGGAGATGGGTCATCTCAGTGACCTCCTATAATGTCGCAGGTGACGGATGCTGAGTTTAACACAGCCTACCCTTCCGATGCGCATGCCTTGCTCGAAAGAGTGATTGACCAAAAAGTGATGATACGCTGTATCATCTTCAGTACTTAATGCAAAAAGAAAGAATCATAGAGTGAAATAGACCCACTGCCTCTGGGCTGTCACGACAGGCTGAGCTGTCCATTTTTTAAGTCAGGTATTTATTTTTCTGACCACTCTGTTCTGGTGGGGCTCATGTCTCTGAGTCCTGTACCCCAGTGATACGATGATGAGGCTGAACCAATGGAGCAGGAGCAAGGCACTGGCCGCAGAGCACGTGCATGTTTTATCCGTGTACATGTTGTGATGTAAAACCCCACCTAAATGGGCCAAAGACTCTTTCTGTTAAAAGCAAGCGGAAATGGGAACAGACAAAAAAGGCAAAAAAGGACATCTAACCACCATAGCAACAAAAGACCCTGTTCATCTGTGGTATGTAGTCTGGGGGGCGTCAGAGGATACGGGAGCCCCCCTGCCTCAGCCAGGGCCCCCAAATCATCCACTGTTGACCACTCACCAGTCTGTATTATGATTCACAGGTGAATTCCAGAGCAGACGTGTTAGCACTCAAACTTATTTGGGCTTGTCTCTCAGGTTTTAAATATTTCAGATGTAATCATCACTAATCCATGCAGTCATCAATGCAATTTTATATTCCTTAAAAGGAAGAAGACTGGGTTTGTACTGTACGTGTTGAAAGCAGGAAGTAAGAGTATTAATGTATTTAATTTAATTTGGAACAAGCCATAGTCTTAACGGAGCTGTGGTCTGAATTTGTTATCTTGGACTGGCCATTGCATGTAAATACAAGATGCCCTTTTGGATGTAAATCTTAGATATGCAGTATGAATGTTACCATTAATAAAAATATTAACCACAGGACTGCTTTCTTTCTCTTTTGTTATACTGATAAGGAAGCTAAAGGTCAGGCACTTGGGACAAAGGTGACTGACCAAGATATGCAGAAGAGGCCTCGGGTTGGGCAGAGTGGACCTCACTAGATTCATGCACCTGTTGGAGAAGGGCTACTGCTAAGAAGGGCTGTGGGTTTCGCTCTGTGTTCGTTTTGCATCTTCTCCTATGCCTCGGGGCCTGGAACAGTGCTGATGCAGAGTGAGTAGGGGCTCAATAAATGCATTTCCATTCTCTCCAAGGCTCTTACTGAGCACCTACTGTATGCTAAACTCTGTTCTAGGCACTGGGAATACAGCGGGAACCCCACCAGTTCTGGCTGTGGTGGGAAAAGTACAGATGACTTGCCTGCAGTGCAGAAATAGAGACGCAGGCATAGAAAAGGGACATTTGGACACGGGGTGGGGGGTGGGGTGAATTCGGAGATGGGGATTGGCACGCACACTCCCACGTGTAAAGCAGCGAGTAGGAGCTGCCGTATAGTGCGGGGAGCTCAGCCGGGTGCTCTGTGACGACCTAGAGCGGGTGAGGTGGGGGTGGGGGTGGGAGGGAGGTCCAAGAGGAAGGGGATATATGTGTACATGTGGCTGCTTCACTCGAAGTGTACAGCAGGAACTAACACAACACTGTAAAGCAGCTATACTCCAATTAAAAAAATACTCCAGTGGGAGGAAGTCAAGAACCAAGAGAACCTCTCCAAGGATCTTAAGGGTTCCTAGACGTGTGTGTGTGTGTGTGTGTGTGTGCGCGCGCGTGCGCGCGCGGTGAGAATACCTGGCTTGTGAAGGGTGCTGATTTAGAGCTGAGGCCTAAAAGACAAGCTTTCCCCTTTTTAAAATTATTATTATTTTTAAATGTATTCACTTTTTTTGAAGGTTTCGAGTATACGTTATTTCTTCAACATGCCATATTTTAATGGGTACATAGTACTTTTACTTGGCATTAATTATGAGTTGATTTTGAAACAATTCAGTATTAAACCAGCTAGGATGACTACTGTTCTCTCCATTCCTTTGGGGCAACTCTGCCAACAGGTCATGGGTTCCACTCTATTCCAATTTGTGTTGCGATATATACCCATAAAGCAACACAGAAAGTGGCTCCACTAGCTAATACAGCATTTTACCGTACTCGTCATGGAAACCAGGTGCCCACTTCTGGTGGATCTGCCTTGCCACTGCTCTTTGAATGCTTTGAACCCTGAGACAACTTAGTGCGTTTTTGGCCAAGGGAAGCATCCTGAGGTTGAACACAAAAGGGCGGCAACTATAACTGCTGGCCTCTAGCAATTCCTCGTCCAGTACCCTTGCAGAGTCCTGAAAAAATAAATTTATTTATAATTGAAGGATAATTGCTTTACAGTATCGTGTAAAGCACAGTTCTGCCAGACATCAACATGAATCAGCCACAGGTTTACTCACGTCCCCTCCCACTTGAACCTCCCTCGCTATCCCACCCCTCTAGGTGGTTACCCAGCCCGGGTTTGAGTTTCCTGAGTCCTACAGCAAATTCCCATTGGCTATTTTACATATGGTTGTGTATGTTTCCATGTTACGCTCTCCACATATCCCACCCACCCCCACCTTGTTTCTTGATGAAGAAGGCGTATTTAGCTCACCACCCACCCTAAGTTTGCGCTGTGTTAGTGTGGTTGTCTTTGTTAGTTCTAGGTCTTGACCACCTCCCTCTTCCCCAGAACGTCATCAATGTTGGGTTGCTTATGTCAACAAGGGACGCCTAGTCTTTGTCTGGAGCTCCATCACCACGGACCTCAAGTGCACGCTGGGTTGGGAACCCACCTGCCTGTGTGGACCCCTGGCTTTCCACCCACTTGCGGTCTTCTATGGCCAGGCAGAAAAGTATGTGGTGAAGTCTGGGGGTCTGAAGTCACTGCCTCGGACTGGCCTCAGTTTCCCCACCTGAGCCTAGAGCTGCTGGCCCCGGGAGTGTCCCTCCCTGTCCACCTCAACTGGCAGGTCCTGGGCCCCAGCCCAACACTCCCCTCCAGCCCTCCACATGCCCTTCCATAGTTCAGTTTAGTCTTTCAGTCGTGTCCGACTCTGCGACCCCATGACTGCAGCATGCCAGACCTCCCTGTCCATCACCAACTCCCAGAGTTTACTCAAACTCATGTCCATCGAGTCGGTGATGCCATCCAGCCATCTCATCCTCTGTCGTCCCCTTCTCCTCCTGCCCCCAATCCCTCCCAGCATCAGGGTCTTTTCCAATGAGTCAACTCTTTGCATGAGGTGGCCAAAGGATTGGAGTTTCAGCTTCAGCGTCAGTCCTTCCAATGAACACCCAGGACTGATCTCCTTTAGGATGGACTGGTTGGATCTCCTTGCAGTCCAAGGGACTCTCCAGAGTCTTCTCCAACACCACAGTTCAAAAGCATCATTTATTCGGCGCCCCGCTCACTTCTGCTCCCCGCCTTCACACCTCACCCCCAACACGTCCCACCCTCTCACCCAGCCCCACCCATGCCACGTGCCCTGCCACGGCCACGCCCACCACCGCGAGCCCCGCCCCGCCCCCGGCCCCGCCTCCTTCCAACGGCCACCCCAACGGCTTGTCCCCGCCCCGCCCCCACATTTGTGCTAGGTGCTCTGACAACTCCAGCGGGCCCAGGTGCGTCGTCTCTCCAGCGCCTGACACTCCGGTCGTCGCCGGCTTTCCCCGCGGTCCCGGGCCCGACCTCAGGCTTGCAGACAGGACGGGGACCGTGGGCCCCTAGTCAGCCTCGAGGGGACGGAGGGACCCCCCTTCTCCTTTCGTCCCTGTCAGGGACGGCGGGACCTCCAAGTCAGCCCCTCGGAGAACGGCAGGACCCTGCCTCCGTCATTCCTCTGGGAGCAGCGGGACACCGCTCCTGTCAGCCTGTCGAGCCAGCAGGGAGCCCTTCTCCGGTGGTCCTCGCCAGGGACGGTGGGACCCCCAGGCCAGTCCCTGGGAGCGGCGGCCCCCGACCCCGTCGGCCCCTCGGGAACGGCGGGACTCTTCCCCTGTCATTCCGCAAGACCCTTTCCTTGTCAGCCCCTGGGAGCGGCGGGCCCTCCGGACCAGATCTTGGGGGCGTCGGGGCCCCCGGTCAGAGCCTGGGGGCGGGGGTACCCCCAGACCAGACCCTGGGAGTGGCGGGCAACCGGATCAGATCCCAGGAGCCGCGGGCCCTTTGGGGGCCGCCGCTGACCGGGCCGCGTCGTTGCAGGTGCGGTGCGATGCCCGGGCCTCGGCGCCCCCAGTGGCCATGGAAGACGCCCCTCTGTTGGGCAGCATGTCCAGCCCCGAAGACGAGATGGTGACAGACCTCTTCAGCGCCGAGAGTCAGTTTGTTCCCGAAAACCTTCCCCTGAAAACTGCCGTGGCGGTGAAGCACGAGGAAGACGATTTTCACGTCTTCAGGGACGCGTACCTGGGCCCTGCGGATCCCAGAGAGCCCCTGTTGCACGCGTTCAGCCCTGCCCTCGGTGGGGACTGCCAGCGCAAGGTCAAAGTGGAGCTGCTGGTGGATGAAAACGGAGACGAGGGACTCCTAGGGGAGTACCCGAGCCTCCCGGAGCTCAACCCTCTGGACGACGCCGTTCTCTCTGCCGCCCCGCAGCCTCAGGCCTACAACGTCCAGTTCCTGTCCTCCCTGCTCACCCCGCACAGGAGTTCTGCCGCCGTGCCCCTGGGCGCCTGGGCCAGGGAGGGAGCTGCCCACCCCGGTGTCCGCGTGATTCCAGTAAGATCCACATGGCGCAACTCCCCCTGCTCCCTTTCCCCAGTAGAGAGGGGGGACTTTCGGCTTTTACCTCGATTTTTCCTGTGTCAGTAGCATCGTTATTGGACTCACCATTCCCAACAAGGTGCATCCCTTGCTAAAGCGAGATGCATTAGCCAGCCAAGCATCCTCCCTGATGGTGAATTAGGTCCTTCGTCCCCAGGTCAGATCTGGCCTGACTCAGTGACTTCCCTGGTGGTCCAGTGGCTAAGACTTCACACTCCCAATCCAGGGGACCTTGGTTCAATCGTTGGCCAGGGAACTAGATCCCACATGCCACAACTAAAGATCCCAAGATCCCACATGCCGCAAGGAAGATCTAAGATCCCACGTGCATCAACTAAGAACTCGTGCATAGCCAAATAAATATTTAAAAAACAAAAAATATATGGCCTAACCCAGAAGGGATTAAAAACAAAAGAGGGAAACAACTAGAATTTTTTTTTTTTTAAGCTCTGAAGGCAGGGATCAAATTGTGCCCCTTGCTATGGAAATGGGAGTCCTAACCACTGGATCACCAGAGAAGTCCCTAGAACGTTTTAAAAGCAGCTTTAGGGAAGAAGCCCTAGTGTCTGTGAAAACAAGTGCAGTATGAGTTTTCATGCACTGGCCTTTTACATATTTTCCCCTTTAGATTTATAAGGGTTGTAATTCATAGCTCAGAGCAGTCGCTCAGTCATGTCCGGCTCTTTGCAACCCCATGAACTGCAGCACACCAGGCTTCCCTGCCTATCACCAACTCCTAGAGCTTGCTCAAACTCATGTCCATCGAGTTGGTGATGTCATCCAACCATCTCACCTGCTGTCATCCCCTTCTCCTCTGGTCTTCAATCTCTCCCAGCATCAGAGTCTTTTCCAATGAGTCAGTTCTTCAAATCAGGTGGCCGAAGTATTGGAGTTTCAGCTTCAGCATCAGTCCTTCCAATGAATATTCAGGACTGATTTCCTTTAGGATGAACTGGTTGCTGGCTGATCACCTTGCTGTCCAAGGGACTCTCAAGAGTCTTCTCCAACACCACAGTTCAAAACCATCAATTCTTCAGCGCTGAGCTTTCTTTATAGTACNTTCTCAGGAGGCAGGAAAAGTGGCTTGGTATTCCCATCTCTTTAAGAATTTTCCACAGCTAGAACTTGCTGCTAGGTAGGACTTACAGTTAGTACCTGTGTTCGGTGAGCCATGAAATCACGATGTTAGAGCTTCCCTCTGCTAGTAAGTAGCTGTTCCTCAAGTGTATGTAATATAAATCAGAGTCTACATGAATTCATGTTAATTGTCAGCCAGCTACCCTATTTTGCTGTGGATAACCACTGGTAATTTTCTGCTTTGTCCTTATTTATTTATTTATTTTGAACCTGGGCTTTGGGTGGTGAAAGCACAGAGTCCTAACCACTGGACCACCAGGGAATTCCCCTTTTCTGTTTTTGTTGAAACTAAAAAGTCAATTTTTAAAGGAAGAAAAGGATTTCCAAGGAAATGTGTACTGGAAAAGGATCTAGTTTGGAAAATCAGATTACTCAACCACTAATTTTAGTAAGTTATAAATTAAGCCCGTGTGGAATATTTTTGAGTTGGTATTAAGATGGCTGGAACCTGACTTTGTATATCATAAACCATAGCAGCAGGAGCTTAGATTCCTGTTTTCCGGTTTTATTTTAGTGTAATCACTGCTCCTTAGTGCACAGGAAAGTTGGGGAAGAGAGGCTGCGGCCTGGAGAAACCGGCGAGCACACCTTGTTCCTCCAGACTTCAGTCAGCACAGAGGTCTTTCTTGGAGTCTTTTTCAGATGGCTTGAAGTGTCGGACATTCCATCTTGCTACCAGGCCAAACTTGTGCCCCAGCACCTTTCGCCTATTCATCCAAGCACAGTTCCCTTCCTGCGCCGATTGGACTCGGTGTTCACCAGAACGGGAAGGGAAAACAGGGACAGGAAGGGAAAGAACAGGGAAACGGGAAGGGAAATTAAAATAGCAAATTCTCTTTTAACGTAATTCAACTTTAGCAAAATAAAGGAGGGACTACTTGGATGATATTTCTTGTTGTTTTTTTTTAAATTTTATTGACAAATTCCAAGTGTTAGTCCCTCAGTCATGTCTGACTCTTTGTGATCCTGTGGACTGTAGCCCACCAGGCTCCTCTGTCCATGGGATTCTCCAGGCAAAAATACTGGAGTGGGTTGCCATGCCCTTCTCCAGGGTATCTTCCCAACCCAGGGATCAAACCCAGATTTCCCACATTGGAGGCAGATTCTTTACCATCTGAGTCACATGATTCTATTTTCACAGTTTCCAAATTTATTAATAAAATGAAAAAGATTTAGCACAAACATGTTTATCATTTAAACAGAATGGAATTATTTTTCAGTAAATATTCAGGGTCAGTTGCTAATTTCCTTTTTCTAGAAATTCATTTTCACATATTGACCTCTGTTTATTTTGTAAAAGTAGGGTTTTACTATACTATAAGTAGTCCAGGTATCAGTTGCATGGGGTTGAGGAACTGATGTATTTACTGTGTAAGTATCTGTTAATTATAGGGAGATAAGTTAAACCTAAACTTTGATAAATTTAAAAAATAAAATTATTCTTTCCTAAAAACCAAAATCTAAACTTTGATGACATGTACATGACAAATTCTCCAAAGCAGAAAGCAGAAGAAAATTGAAAAATTCTACATTTCTGTAAAATTTGAAATGTCTAAAAAAAAGTTACAACTTGAAATATTGCTAAACTTTCCTATATCTTTAAAAAGATTTATACCTAGATACTAGTCTGCTGTGTTAAGGGATTTGCCAGTCCATGAAAATAATAAATTGTTTGGGTCCCAGATTCTAAGTCAGATGATCTTCAAGTCTGAGTCAATCCCCACACTTTGAAAGATAGTTGTCTTTGTTGTGATTTTACAGAAGGTCTTCAGAATGTTACCTTAGAATCACCATCTTCTTTGAAGGACTTTATGATCTGCCTCCTGGCCTTTGGGAAAATTCACCTGTCCTAACAGGCAGTCTGTGCAGATGGAGGTTAAGGAGGGGTAGAGACCATGTAAATTCTGGGTTAAATTCTTATTTGATTTATTTCACTCTCATGGTTCTAGTTTCATGCTCCCTAGGCAGCCATCCTATAGCTAGACTTGATAGACAGTCTGTGTAATGGATAAGAATATAATCTCTGGAGTCAGGTTTGGCATCAAATTTTCTTCAATTACCATAGGAAAGTCATTTAACCTTTAGGAGTCTCAGTTTCCTTACTGTAAAATATGAATAGTGATGATAATATACCTCACAGGACTGTCATGGAGATTAAATGCCACCTTGTGTAAGTGCTGTGTACATAATGAAACTTGATAAATGACAGTTATGTTATTCCTGTTGTTATCCTTGTTGCTATTACTACTGTGTGTCTGACTTTCACACTCTTTGTTTGGATTCTCAAAGCAGATGATAGGTCCTCATGACCTAATCAAAGCCCTGTTCTTAGACATCACTGTTACTATATATCATAAGATGATATATTCTGTATTCATTAAAATAATCTTTTAGAACAATTTTTCACAACATACATAATGATTGACATTTGCATGCATGAAAACCACATGACCTGAGGGTATAATCTATGCTTTTACCTCACATTCCAGAAAGCATATTAGAATTCACATGAACAAAAATGGTATTGTTATTGCAATACATCTATGTATATATGTATTTGTTTATGCTATAATTTGTTAAATTATTATAATATATATCACAGTATTATTATATATTATATGTTATTATTATAATATATATTATATATAATAATATATTTATAATTATATATATCTATAGTGTATTATATATTATACATAGAAGTTTGCTAGTTGAAGTTGGCTAGTTGACCATATATATTATAGTATATATAGTATATATATTATATACATATATAATATATTTTTATATATAGATATAATGTATATATAATTATAATTTTGAAACACTTTAATTGGTAATTTTTTTAAAGCATCGAGACTACTTAGTTTTTTAAATTCCATTGATTTTCAATGACATCATTGGTGTTTCTCCCTAGTTTTGGTACTTTTTTGCTGGTGTATCGCTGAGGTGTTGCAGAGGATAGCTTAAAAAATAAAGCTGGCAATTATTCTCTACCCTCCCTGTTTTCAAGTTAATTATTGTTCTACCATTCAGTGAGGGAAGCTCTACTATTTAATTGTAAACATTTCTATAAATACATTGTAAGTTACAATATGCATGTGTGCTAAGTCACTTCAGTCATGTCCCCGACCCTTTGCTACCCCATGGACTGTAGCCCGCCAGGCTCCCCTCTCCATAGGATTCTCCAGGCAAGAATACTGGAATGGGTTGCCATGCCCTCCTCCAGGGGATCTTCCTGACTCAGGGAAACCCACATGTCTTATGTCTCCTGCATTGGCAAGAGGATTCTTTTACCACTAGCACCACCTGGGAAGCTCCAAGTTACAATATAAATTTCACTAAAACATCAGCAAAGATTTCTGGCTTCCTGAGGAAAAAGCAAAACAGACTAGAACATTAATACAACTTAATGAGCGTGCTCTGAGAACGATGATTAAGGAGAAGCATTTTAGGCAATTTTAAGGAAGGTCCCAGGAGGCAGACAGATCTTTTGTAGTAGGGGGTTGTCAAGAAGCTCAAGGGGGAGCTGACCAATCACAGAATCTTCTCAAATTACCCACACCATGTTTTTCAAACAGCAAGAGGGTTACATGGAAGTCACATCCCCACACCTCATGGGCAGATGGTCCTGATCCTCTGGATGTTCTCGATCCCCAGCCAGGATGGTCAGATGACTTGTCGCCCCAGAGGACGAATTAATAGTGGGGAAGAGAGGACGCTAAGCATAAGGATGTTCTTTACTTTAAAAATGTAACTTCTATAAAGAATTTTCTATATTATGCAACTGTAAACTGTAGTGTCCACAATGTGATTTCTGAGATCACGTTTACTTTTTCAGGTGGAAATCAAGGAAGCAGGTGGTTCTATCACAAGCAACAGTCTGGAGGAAGCAGCTTTTCAGCATCCTCTGGCCCAGGAGTCATGCTGCAAGTTCCCATCGTCTCAAGGAGCAGAGGACGCCTCTGGCTGCTCTCAGAAGAAAGACTCTAACCCAATGGTAATCATGCAAAGAAAACGTGTCTGACTGACGTGTGTTAAATGTTTGACCCTTATCATTAAGTCAACAGTACAATATTTTCAGTCATTGTTCTGCATGCTGTTTACTTGTCGAGTCAGCATTTTTGGTTGTCTTATATATGAAAAGAGGTACATAATTAGTCTTTCTAATGTTTCTTTCCCGTCTAAGTTTCTCATTTCTACTCGATCTTAGTGAATCAAAGATTAGGACACTGCTGTACTCGTTAAAGAGAGAAGCCCTAAGTCACCTCAGTCCAGGCAGGCCCAGGGTTGGCCCAGGAAAGGAGCGGCTGCTGACCTGTGTGGCTTGGCGTGCTGGTGGGAGGGGGCAGCTGCGGTTCTGCGGCTGCAGGGCAGAAGCTGCTTTCCTCCCTGCCTGCCTCCAGATGCCTCCTACCAGCTAACACTCAAGCACGACAGGAATCAGTAACGTTTGTGGTTTATGTGACAGGTCTGCATGTTCGTCATCTTATTCATCTATCGGCTCTGCCCTGGTGGCTCAGACAGTGAAGAGTCTGCCTGCAAAGGCAGGAGATCTGGGTTCCATCCTTGGGTGGGGAAGAGCCCCTGGAGAAGGAATCAGCAACCCACTCCAGTATTCTTGCCTGGAGAATCCCATGGACAGAGGAGCCTGGCGGGATACAGTCCATGGGGTCACAAAGAGTCAGACACGACTGAGCTACTAATACACACAAACTCTGTAGGGTAGACATTATTTTTATCTACATTTTATGGATCAGAAAACAGAGATGTTGCATAGCCTGCTTGTAAGTGGTGTGTTGAGGACCAAAAAGGGAGGGAAGCCAGGGAATCCAGCCCCAAGCATTCATTAGGCAAAATGTCCAAAGAACCAATTTCTGTCCCCACCATCAGCTCTCTGTTCCAAGAAAGGAGACCTTAAATCTAAGGTGTGTACTTTATCTGGAAAATACTTGAGAATAGGCAGAACTTTTCTGGGACACTTAGATCAGGTGAACAGGATGAGAGCTCTTCCAATTACACCGGACTCCTGAGTAATGCTAGAATGCTCACAGGAGGGACAGGATTGTGTCCTTCGAGAGTCCAAAACTGTGCGATAGGCAGAGGCCTGGACAGTCCACTCAGCCAAAGCCTGTGCCCCTGTGCGCATGTGGCTATAATTATCCTCTAAATACAAATAAAATCCCAATGGAACATGAATTCTGGCCTCTTATCCAGTGTCAGGATGATATGAAGGTGTGAGCTGGTGATCAGCACCTCATTAATATAGGCTGTATGTGTGTTATTTTGGTAACATTGATCCTTTAAGCTTATTTGGTTTTCCTGTCTAGGAAACCCGAAGGCAACCTGACAACAGAAACCATAGCTTCTCTGGGTATTTGTGGTTTTAACATCAGAATTAGAAGCTGTGTGCAGTCAGAAACGGTGACTCCTCTCACCTTCATGTTCACGCTGCATTGTCAGGGACAGGCTGCACACAGGGAGGGCTGAGTCCATGCTCGGCTTGACTAGTGTGGTGGGCTGGCTGAGGATCTATATATGGTCAGAATCCAGCTAGATGATCTGAGGGTGCTGGTCAGGCCCAGAAAGATTGACATGGCTTCTTGGAATTTTCCAGAACTTGGATTAAACTTTCTAAACTGTACTTGTAGGAAATGAAATAAACGGGTATCTTAAAAACACAGTAGATGTTAAATAATAACATGTGCATGTGGCAGGAAAGAACAACTGTCATAAATTTAAAGATTATTCTAAGTAGTTGACCAGCTATAGAGATGGAGTCAGGGGACAGAGCCCTTCATATAGTTAACTGGATTTCAATGGGGCCAGGTTGGGCAAATCAGCACACTCTCTCCATTCCTGAAGACAGTGGGCAGGTAACAGAAGCTCTGGCGCATAGTCACCTGTTCCCTACCCTAAGCCTATACCTGTAGAGAAAGGCTTGAGCAGGAACTTCTGTTAACACACTGAACACACCTCACAAGACATTGCCCCAGGGGTTTTTTGGCTCTGTGGTCCCTCCAGCGAGCATGTTATTATAGAGTAAAAAAGCGAGAATATATCTATAGTTAACCATTTTCCGTTAAAACTTAAATTGTGGATTAAGACTGTGGTCTCAGATTTAAGTTTACTTAGATGCATATTACTGGATATCTTTTTAAAATTGAAACCTGATCATTATTTTTCATTTTAGGTGATATGTCAGTTGAAAGGGGGTACACAAATGCTGTGTATAGACAGTTCTGGCACAAGAGAACTAAAAGCACTTCATTTGGTTCCTCAGTATCAAGACCAAAATAATTATCTACAGTCAGGTACAAAGTAAATTAATAGAAAAATATGTCATATGTCACATGGAAGTTGGTAAGTGAATATGTTTGGCTTTGTATATAAATTGAAAGTGAAATAGGCAGTTAGGCAATTTGGCAACCCCTACAGCCCATATTAGTGAGTTAAGACTAGCAAAATATATCTTTATAGGTTAATTTATGTATGTTATTCTGACTATCTCAAATTCTTAGATGGCTGTCCTCTCCTGCTAGCTGTAGAGTTTTGTGATCCTAACAGGTAACAACTCGTACCCATGAGTGCTGTGGCCAGAGGTACCTGGGTTGAAACAAACTTTCCCAAATTAGGCAATGGGTTGACTGTTCAGATGTGGCAAAAATTATATACACTTTAATGTAAATGTTTTCATGCAGTCAATGAGAACCACCACTGTGCTTTAATCATCATGAGTTCTGAAATAACTATCAAATGCTGACTTATCTGCCATTGGTTTATTTAGAAACTTCTTTAAACTGATGCAATAATAACAAATAATCTATAACTACTTGATTACCATCAAGTGACTTATGAATGATTAAAGGAAGGTCAAATGACATAGTTGTAATGTTGTGTTTACAAAAGTTAGACACTAACACTCGAGAACTGGGCATCTCTGTGTACTATGTACATAAAACTGGGCATCTCTGTGTACTATGTACATAACTGTGTTACCCTAAAGCTTGAATTAACCAGAGCATTTCATTATCATATGATTCACTGACCTTGTCATAATTTAAGTCAATATTAAGTCCTGGTGCCATCTCAGTGAGCCTTTGGAGCCCAGGGCAAAAAGACAGAATGTGACTCCTCTTCCATCCTGAGAGTCTCCTTATCCAGGGACAGACAACATGCCTCTAAGTCATTTACTTTTCTATGATGCAACAAGCCTCCAGGTGCACTTTGCTGCACATCAGCTGTAGGTTTTCTGGCTCCAGTCCCTGTGGGTCAGAGCTGCCTCTGATTCTCTACACAGGCAGAGAAGTCTTCTTTCCCAATTCCCTTCCTTCTGGAACACGACAAAATCCTAATGCCTTAGATCATCTCCAGAAGGAAGATTTACATAATGCTCTCCTCATCTATTTCCTTGCATATCATCATAACTGCTCAGCCCCCAGCCTAGTCTCCTTTGTCACTGTGTACACATTAAATATCACCATGAAATAGATGCATTCAGTTACGTAAATATCAAGGAAACACCACTCAAAGGAGGCATAAGCCTTCAGCAGGTGGGCAATCAGGAGACTTCTCCTGTCACTCAAACATGGAATTTCACAGGGACTGTAGTCTCACGGGTGTTCTTCATGGCGCTCTTAGACCAAAGAAATAGGTATCGGTTCCAGTCTTAAGTAGTTTGCTCCCAATGAGCAAACTATGAGTTTTTACATCCTGTGAGTATTTACATAATCCTAATGTAAATCCTAATGATATTTACATCCTATTAAGTTAGCAGCGGCAGCAACAAGTTAGCATCAGAGGAAGAATACACATAAATTGAAAGTAGTTCATGTGTCATCCTACAGATGGTGCTGTTGCTTTCTTTGAAAATGTGAGTATCTAGTGCCTCCCTGGTGAGTGCTGCAGCACTTGAGGGCACCGTGGCACAGAGTTTAGGAACCTGGGCACTGACAACATTTCATAGCATAACATCCCTGAAAGTTCAAGTTAAGTAGCATTATGAGAAAGAAAAAAGGTGTAATAAGTAAAAACAAACAAACAAACCCAAGCTGAAAACATTGACCAGAAAGGTTTTATAGAAAACATAAATAGGATCAAGAGAAGTATAAATGACTTTGCACATGTTAAACTCATGATGCCTTATCATTTTTGTACTTTCTTCCATGTGCAAATGGAAAAGGAACAATATATGCTATCAATTAATTGTAATTGTCTTCCTTACAGATGTCCCTAAACCCATGACTACTTTAGTAGGAAGATTTTTGCCAGTACCAGCAAAATTAAATCTCATTACACAACAAGTGAGTTATTGCTTTAATAAAAAAACATACAATAGGGTATTATTGTCTCTTGAAATTTCGACTGCTGAAGTTTGAATTACTCAGAAAGTTTATTTATCCTCTGTTTTACGATCAGTGGTTAAACCAAGTATACAACACCTTCACCCCATGTCAGGCACTGGGAGTACCAAGGTGAGTCTAAGACCCCCTTCTCTGCCAGCTCTGTGAGACGACCTGGCCATTCCTATGGCCTTTGGACCGCAGTTCTGCCCCATTTGCTGAATGTGTCCTTTGTGGTCCTGACACCCATCAGCATGTACCCCTCACTTGGTCTAGAATATATATTTTCCACCTTCCTCCACATCAGGAAAATGCTCTTTAGTTTAAAATGCTTTTATGATTACACCATAATGTGCATAATTTAAATATAAGACAAATGTACTCTTTTCCTTAAGTGTTGATGTAAGATGTCCCCTCTCCAGAAGAGCCTTCCATACGTCCCCAGTGTAGATGGCCACTGGACCATCTGTTTGATTTTCTGCACAGCACTGTCACTGTCTTGTGTTCTTCAGTTTGTTTGTTTGCCTATATCCGCCCACAGGAATACAAGCTCCATAGAGCAGCAATCTTGCAATTCTTGGTTATATCTGTGGGCTGAGGGCTGGAGCAAAGCTAACATGTATCAGGCCTTTGTAGAGGGTGGCCTTCAATAGGGCAGCATGCCTGAGCACTTGGCTTACATCAGTGAGCCAATATTAAGTGAACCCCCAAAACAAATCAAAGCGAACAAGTGGCTCTGCCCCCCCGCAGCTTACATTTCAGTGTGGAAGACAGACAATAAGCAAACCTAATCAATAAGTAAATACACTATACCCTGCTAGGAGAGCAGAGGAGGGGCACTGGAGGTGGGAGCCTGGGGAGGAGGAAGGCAGGCGGCGAGTTTAAGCAAGGCGGCCAGCGTCGGCGCCACTGAGACGGTGACACCTGAGCAGTCTGGAGAGAGAGGAAGAGGTGCGCCTTGTGACTGCACCTGGAAGAGCACACACAGTGTGGGCTCCTCGGGCCCTGGAGACAGGCAGGGCTGATGGGGCAGGGCTGGGGCAAGTGAGAGGGAGGGAGCAGGAGAAGTGGAATACGACAGAAGACATCTTACTTAAAGGACATCTCTTTTTCTCTGCCTTACTTTGGGGCTAAACAAAAGAGAAAGAGAGAAATTATATCTGGTTTATTCAGAGAATTGTCTCAACTTGAAGAACTGTGAAATCATTTCCTCAAAAGAAGGCACAAATCCAGAGAAGTCTCCTCCTCGTGGACTGCCACGAGGAGATGTGGGCCCAATGCCTGGGCGTCTGGGTGACTGTAAAGGGAACAGCTGCAGTCACTGGTGAACACTTCCCTCTGGCAAAGTGGGGGAGAGGGACGCAGAGCCTCCCAACTCTCCCAAGGCCCACGGGGGTGGTTCTGGCAGTGACTCCCCTGTGAGACTGTGGTGGCGGATTCGTAATGAAGGAGTTGGACCCTACTGGTTTCTCAGTATCTTCAGGCCCCACCAGGGAATGATCACACACAGTGATAAAAGAAGCAGAAGAGAGAAAAGGAAGATAGATAAATTGTGTTTTCCCAAGATCATGCTGCTTCTTTTTTATTTTATTTTATTTATTTATTTATTTTTTTGTCTGCATTGAGTGGCTTGTGGGATTTTAGTTACCCGAAAGTGAAGTCGCTCAGTCATGTCTGACTCTTTGCGACCCCATGGACTGTAGCCTACCAGGTTCCTCCGTCCATGGGATTTTCCAGGCAAGAGTACTGGAGTGGGTTGCCATTTCCTTCTCCAGGTGATCTTCCCAATCTACAGATGGAACTCGGGTCACCCACATTGTAGGCAGACACTTTACCGTCTGAGCCGCCAGGGAAGTTCCCTGACCAGGAATCAAACCCAGGTCTTCAGCAGTGAAAGTACAGAGTCCTAACCACCAGACTACCAGGAGATTCCAAAACTGTGTTTCTTAAATAAAGCTGATTTCTAAATTTCAAGTTTTCAGGGAGGAAGGGACAAGGATAGGATGTTTGTGATATACACAAATAATTTCAAAATCTAAACTTATTCAACAGTTAAAATTTCTTCAAGCTTCTTTACAAGAAAATAAAGGTCAGTGTTGATTTTGCTACCCTTTCCTTTCCCTATAAGCCATGTGAATGGATAATATACAATCAAAGAACATGAGAACCAAGAAAGCAAAGGACATGGATAATGCAGAGATTAGGACACTGGTTTTTAATATGTTAAAATTGATTACAAAATTTTTATGATTAGATGAAAAAGTAATGGTTGCCAATGAGATTTCAAATGTGTTATACTAAGAACATGATAATAATTAAAGAACATGTTTAGTTTATAGAAATATGTTATTGAATTTATTTCCAAATTTGTAGTTCATGAAAGTGAAAAAGATGTCCGTTGCAATAACACTGGGCAACCAGCTCACAGCTGTGTGAACTGCTTGTCAGCTTGTAGATGCCTTGGCCCTGAATCCTTGGCCTGTTTCAGGCTTTGCCCACATTCAGGCTTTCTCACCCCAGGGTGTCCTGTGGTCTGGTGGGTGAGGTCGTTGGGGCTGGACTCCTCTCACTTCTACTGAAACCCTTGGCTGGAATCTGCTCAGGTATTAGCAGAACCATGGTGATAACAAGGCCTGGATGTTGTTGTAAAGGGATCGTGGTATAAGTCTCCAGAAGAAAATCATCTTTGTCTATACCTTGGGGGGGAGGTATAATAAACTTTTAAAATGTATCCTAATTCAAATTATGCTTGCCTTTGACTTGACACAGCTCGACAGTGGGGCCTTACCATCTGCACTCAACGGGTCTGCTTTCCCCTCAGGATCAACTCTTCCAGGACCACCACCAAAAATAACTTTGGCTGGGTAAGAATTAGAAGCAATTGTCACTTTAATGTAAGAGTTTAAGAGGCTCTTGGGTACATTTGTGATTTTTTTCTGAGTTTAAAATTAGCTTTACCTGCAAACCTTCATGACTTCTAAAATAGGATTTTTACGTTCAGTAGTGCACTACCAGTGTCGCTGTGAGTATCTGGTTTGCGGTTGCTTGAAAGACTGGCCTGTAACTTTCGTTTACTTCCACTCTCTGCCCAGTGTCCAGTGTCAGTGTTTCAGAGGCTTGCTGCCGATCCTAGCTGTCTTGAGAGCACATTGGTTTAAACTTGGCTGCTCTGTTTCTGTTTTGCTGTCATCAACACAGGTAATGGTGTGGCCGTCACTTTATGGCGGCCTCTGCCCGCTGCCTTTGCTCACGTTCACTGGCAGGGTCCGAGGCACATGATCTGCAGGTGGACATGGCTGCACTTATCTGGGACCTTGTCTTGCCATTTTAAAATCATGCCTGTAATTGTAACTATTTAAACTAACCAAGTGGGTTGAAACTTTCTTGAGTTCACACTCATGTCCTACCAGTGAATAGAGCAGCCCTCTTTGTTCATGGAGCCATCTAGTTGGTTATGGAGGGGTCACCTCTTCCTGCCTCCAGATGTTGGGGCACACAGCCTAATGAAAAAGTACATTTGAGGGCCTGAAAGAAATCAGGCCAGCAATTTAGGAAACGTAGGCTGGTCTCTAGTGCCCCCAGCCTCCTGAAGTGTCCGCCTTCAGGCACGTCTTCACTGTGACCTTGATGCGCATGAGGAGAGTCATCGGGGCGGTGTGAGATGCTTAGGTGAGCCGCTTAGTGGAGTTCTGGTGACCTGGTGGATTCAGTTAACACACACCTCTGCATTGTCGCCGAAGAATGTCAGTTGCTCATGTGATTTGCTGCTTCAGTCTTAGCAGTTGGTCGTGGAGCTGGTTGTAATTCTGTGCCACTTCAGGTGTTGACTCTCATTTAATTTGACTGACTCAGACTATGGGAGCCATTCTCCTGGCTTCACTATCTTGGCATGATGGATCAGTGGTTGCTGTTGTAACTGGTTCTGTAATCATGACTCATAATGTTTGTGGACCAAACAACTCTGTGAGCAACTTCTAAATTTGCTGATGGTATTACATCTTTGGTTACACCATACGACCCAGGATTTTCAGATCCTAAGGATACGTACTTTACCTTGCTTGTAATCTGGGAGCAACCAGCCCATAGTATTGCACACAATGTGCTTTGGCCTGTCTACCACAGCCAAGGGCATTTGGCGCTTCTAATACTTTATTTCAAGTGTGTGCTCTCAGGGTTAGAGTGCCATTTGAAGTTTCTCTGTGTTGCAGGTTTTATCCTTCTCCACAGAGGAGTGGCAATGAGGAAATGTTCATTCAGTGCACTTCTCCTTACTCCCACCCTCCCCCTGCCTTCTTCCTAGTCTCTACAAGGTTTTCTCTATTGTGAAGTAATTACGCAGACCATAAAATATTTTTCTATTATAAATGATGTGCCAGGAAGGTTTGCCAGGAACAACATGAGCTTTGTTTTTGTATTTTTTTGCTGCAAATAATTACTTGATTTGATGTCATGCCACTGAATCAGCCAGATGATTATTATCTCTATATCCACAGTACTGATGGCATACTGGAATCTCTACCAACTTGTTAATTTGTGGCGAGGGAGCCGTCAGAAAACCGTTTGCAGGCTGTTTCATTCTGTATGAGTTCCCAACCATGACTAATTTGCTAGACCTCTTTAGATGCTTTGTTAGCCTTTTTTTTTTTAACTTTCACTAGACAACAAGGTCAAACAAAGGTGTCTTCCAAGGTGTGAAGACATTCTTCAAAGGTGAGAAAGGACATTCTGTCAGCCCATATGGTTTAAACATACTGAGATAGATGATTTAGATGCAGGCCAGCTTGGGCCTTACAGCAAGCAGTCCATATGGGTTCACCCAGTCACCATTCTTGAGATATAGGTGGTAAACTGGCTGACTTATTAAGTAGTTTATCATATGAATAAAAATTCATGTCCTATAACTCTGCATGGCTTTAATAATCAAATTATCAATCAGACATTTACTGTGAATTCTGATATGTCCTTGATGTCTTTATTTTTGGTAACATAATGAACATTATAAAATTCAAGAGTCTGCTTCTCTGGAAACTTTTTCTTAAAGATGAGCTCGTATGT